GCTTACCATGCCAAGATCAAAGACAATGTCTTGATGAATTTCCGTGTGATTAATTGCATGGTCCGTGCGCACAAAGCTAACTAAAGTCGCCTTCGTTTAACCGCGGCCTTGCATCCCTCTTTTACGGGATGAAACTGCTAAGCTTCTGTCCGTTCAAAGCATGGCAGCTCCCCCTCGCTTAAGTCTATCAACTGCCTTACAACCTGTAACAGCCGAAAAGCATTGTGAAGTACACCTAAGCAGAGAGTATAATCTATGTAGTAATGATTTCGCCAACATCGAAGGAACTTTAGCACGCAATGGCGTCGGGACCGCAAGCTGTGCAATAACCGAAGCAGGCAAGTCAGGAGAGCGGATCACGTGGTGTAGTAGGGCAGCAGCTGCTGGTTGCTGCAAGGGGATTAGTTCCTCTGACACGAGCCTTCGGTGCGATAGCTACATAAGAAACAGCACATAATGTCGATTGCCGTATTGCTATTGCACGTACCGAAACCAAAATCATAGCAAAAGAGTTTATGTGTCCGCTACGCATCTCCGCGTAGGGCGACATGTAGTGAGGTTAACGGTCAGTTTGTTATATGTAACGATGCGGGGGCGCCGGTTAGAACCGCTGGGCGTCGACATCGCACAATTGCTTGTCGTTCCATTGACGGCACCTAAGGCTGCAGCACAGCAGCTGCAACACCACTTCTCCTTCACCGTCAGTCAGTCATCCGTCACTGTCAAATACATCTGGTTCTTCAGAAGTGCACATTCATCGCGTGCATAAGAATCTAGCTGATGACCAGGCCTGGATGCTTGTACGGCGAATGGTCATCTATCTTGGCCGATGGTTACTAGGCTTCCTTTTAATTATATGTTTATCCGAATGGTCTGTTTGTGGCCTTTAACCGCTTTGAAACAAAGACAGGAGCAAAACAAGCCCTCGCTCAGATACTGCGTGGATGTGTGCCCGCCGCAGGCCGCGAACGCCACTTGCACGGGGCTACTCACTTACCCTATGTGTCTGCGAGCACGCACTTTCTGTTGCCTTAACTTGGCTTTAACGCAGCGAAATGAAAGCCGGACAGGAAAAGAGGCCTCGTGAAAGTGATGTTCCCGGGACCTCAGCTGATTGGCCCAAATGGCCCAAACGCCAACGCACGCCAGGCTCCGCGCCCGGCGTACAACAATTACAAAAGCTTACATGTTCTCTGTGAAGCAAAATAAAAATGACGCAATTACGACGGCAGTTGTTAGACACGATGACCACGCTGCCCTGGAAAACACCGTCCTCCGTAACCGGGACGACTTACCACACGGCTGTACATGCTCGTCCGGCCGCAATAACCAACAACTGACAACCAACGCCAATCAACCAACAACTATATATTGCGGAGCATCAATACAGTGCAACCGTTATACATAACGGCAACATCGCCAAAGCTGCTGGTACTGCTCTAACAGGCACGAAGGCAGATGCATCTCGCGCAAGGCCTTGCGGCCACCTGCCTCACCTACCCACTTCCCAATCCCTAAACATCAAACCTGGCCAAAGCGGCTTCTTATACCCAAAACTGGCACTATTAGTATTACGTCGACCAATCCTCCGGTCGACTGAATGCCGTTTGATGCATCTTCGCGGCATTTCCACGCCTAAAGGCCTCTTCTTGCTTCAACTGCTCCGGTCACCTCCGTTTCACTCACAACATGCCGCGGCGACAGCCGGGTACGCGGTCCCTTTGGCATCAGGCCCCCGAGCTGCTGCTCCCGCTCCCGCTCTCCAGCAGCGCATGTACAGCATGTACGGCACGCACTCCCGCCGTACACGCAGTGGTCTGGTCTGTGCCCGTCGTCGTGTCAGCCGAACATGTGGTCCCAGTCCGGTCCGCGGCCCGGCGGCGGCCGACCTATGTCGTTGAAGCCTTCGCCGCGCTGCGCCCTGTGGGTTTTTGGAATTGGATTTTTGGAATTGGGTTTTTGTGGAAATGAAGTGGGACTGAATCATATGGCTGGAAAAGGGCCAACCGCCGCGACATCGTCACCCGCACCAGCTGTGCTGCATCACCGGCGTTGGAGTCCCAAGCGACGATGCAACGGTCCATCATGGCCCCTGGGTGGGAACGGTATTCAAAATGAATCCAGGATGGCAGCTGGACGAGGTAGGTGGATGGGCACGGGGCTGAAGAGGCAGTGACGGTGGCGCAGCTGCGGGGGAGCCGTTTTACAGCGCCGGCGTGCGTCCATATTAATCTATCGACCAATCTCGAAAGACGGGCGAAGCGGGAAAACACTCGCCGGCCATTTCTTTCCCCCCCCACACTCTCCTCGTCCCTGTAATGCCTTTTGCCTAGAATGTGGAGGACCACATCTTGCGCGATTGCTTACAGCTTCATCGGGAAAGGAAACGAACGGAAAATTGCCAACTTTCTCCCTTTTTCGTCAAAGGGGTTTCCCGAGCGCGTTCTTCGTTTAATCTCGGGCATTATTGCGTAGAGATTACATGGTACAAGTACATGGTACGAGAGCCGGATCAAAATTCGTACGGTGGCCAGTGTACTACAGTTTAGTACGCCGGGTAGCAAAAGCGCCGCAGACGCAGCGGCAGCACAGACACCTTCCGCTCCGAAACCGGACGGAGGTCCGCGGGGGGCTCTCGGGCGCCGACTGATGAGGCAGACGAGGTGTGGGGCTGAAGCGGCGGGTGGATGAGACGGCGATGGAGAGAGAATGGAACGGCGGCCGAGGAGGGATCCCCACCGCCAGAGCAACAGCGGGCAGTAGTGCATGTTCCCCACGGTGCACGTACCCCGCCGCCGCCATGACAGTGGTGGTGGTAGTAGTGGCAGTGACGGTGAAGATGGTGATGGTGAGAAAAAAATGTAGTGGTCGTTGTTGGTGTCAATGACGAACGGTGGTGGTGGCGGTACGAAGAGGAAGCGGTGCCGAAATGAAGATAATACGACGACGACGACGGCGGCGGCGGCGGCGGGGGCGGGGGGGGGGGGGGGTCCCGGGGAAGCGACGCGGGGGAGAAGGCGGCAGGGACGCACGCGGTGACTTCGCCTCCGCGCGGGGGAGTTGCACGTGCGTGCCCGTACCCCGTACAATGCACACACATAAACACTTTCGTCCGCCTCGCGGCGGAGTTCATGAAGACGTACAGACGCCATCAAGACGTACAGACGTCATCAAGACGTGCAGACGTCATCAAGACGTACAGACGCCATCCAGACGTACAGACGCCATCCAGACGTACAGACGCCATCCAGACGTACAGACGCCATCCAGACGTACAGACGCCATCCAGACGTACAGACGCCATCCAGACGTACAGACGCCATCCAGACGTACAGACGCCATCCAGACGTACAGACGCCATCCAGACGTACAGACGCCATCCAGACGTACAGACGCCATCAAGACGTGCAGACGCCATCCAGACGTGCAGACGCCATCCAGACGTACAGACGCCATCAAGACGTACAGACGCCATCAAGACGTACAGACGCCATCAAGACGTACAGACGCCATCAAGACGTACAGACGCCATCAAGACGTACAGACGCCATCAAGACGTACAGACGCCATCAAGACGTACAGACGCCATCAAGACGTACAGACGTCATCAAGACGTACAGACGCCATCAAGACGTACAGACGGAGTTCCGCATCGGTGTCGTGAAGACTCACCTCGAGACCTCCCACGGCATCCCCCCCTCAACACCACACCACACAACCTCACATCCACACCGCAAATGCCCCTCGCACACCGCCCACCACCGCGCACCTGCCCGCCCTCGTGTAGTCGTCCGGACTCCAGCCTTGCAGTCCCTCGGGGGCTATGGGGTCCCACCTCATACCCGGCACCGCGGGCCCCCCTCCCATACCGGACGAGAAGCCAGGACTGCCGGCTGGAGGGTGACGCAGGCGGTCTGGCAAAGACGGGTGGCCGCAGTACAAGGAGTGAAGGGGAGAGGTTCGGGGGCTGCAAGCGGTTATGGTTGTTAGCGTGTACGGCACGTGGGTATAATGTGCCGTACACATACGGACACCACGCAATTCGGGTCAGGTGATGGCCAGACGTGGACGTGCTGTCCCTGCACCGCTTCAACGTTTACCGCGGATACATACATACATACGGATACATGCATACATCTATACATACATAGATAGATAGATAGATAGACACATAGATATATGTATTCATAAATAGACACACAGATACATGCACGTATATCCATCACCCTATAGCCAAACAACGCTGGGGCTTATGAGCGCAGCAAACCGTGACTCTTGACACCATGACATACAGACACACACACATACGACACGTGCGTGCCACAACCCAACCTTTACATCGCTGTCTGCCCCCTGCCTGCCCCGCATCTCACCCGCGAAGATGGGGTTGCCCGGTCCCACATGCATACCGCCACCCAGCCCCCGGGGACCCGCCGCCGACAAGCCCCCGCTCCCGCCCCCCCCGCCGAATAAGCCCCCCAGTCCGGGGGGCGGGTACAGGCCCCCTGCGGAGTGGCAGCAATAGTAGCACCAGTAACACACCAGTGCAGTAACACCAACAGCAGTAGCATCAGCATCAGCATCAGGAGAAGGACGATGAGGAGGAGGAGGAGGAGTTGGAAAGGTTCTATGGGGTGTCGGACGCCGGCGCAAGCGCCTCCTGATGGTGGGTCCAAGGCGCAGTGTGAAACGACAGGAATCTGAGACTATATACAAACACACACACAAACGCCAAACCACACACACAAACGCCAAACCACACACACAAACGCCAAACCACACACACACACACATGCACACACATACACACATACATACACACACATGCACACACATACACACATACATACACACATACATACACACATACGTACACACATACATACACACATACATACACACATACATACACACATGCATACACACATACATACACACATGCATACACACATACATACACACATGCATACACACATACATACACACATACATACGCGCACCTGGCATCAGGTCCGTATCACCCACTCCCAACGCTGGTCTCCAACCCGGTCGTCCCCCCCCCGGGAACCTCGGAGGGTACTGCTCATCCAGCAACGGGTCTGGGTCCCGTAGCTGCCGCTGCTCCTCCTCCTGCTGCTGCTGCTGTTGCTGTTGCCGCTGCTGCTGCTGCTCTCTCCCGGATGCTGCGTCACCCTGTTGGCCGCTGCTGGTCTTCGCGGGTGTTCCGGCGGTGGCGGTGGCACGCGCCGCGGCCATGGCCTTGCCCTGGTCAGTGCTCACAGACGCAGGACAAGGTGGGAAGTTAGTTACACGGTGCTGCTGGTGCTGGCGCTGGTGCTGGTGCAGAGGATGGTGCAACAACAAGGTCAACGCAACGACTGCCGAGCGGCAGGAGAGAGGACAGGAGAAAAAGGGAGGAGAGAAAGAGAGAGGGGGTGGGGGGAAACAACCTCGAGACACCACTACCCGGCGGCTTAAAGGGGCAGTTATGGGCAGCTGAAGCAGGAGAGGCCTGCAGCCCCTCAGCCCTGTCCAGGAAATCCTTAACATAACTACGATGGATGCGATCACCAAATTCAAATATTCAAATCCTTATCGATGTATCGATTCCTTATACAACTTAATTAATTAATCAATCTCGTCTAGCCCTTCTACCGCACCCTTCCTCCTTTCCCCCCCACCCCCCAACCCCCTCGGGCTAGTGCTCTTCCAGTGCAACCCTACACGCAGCCCCCCCCCTTGGATACTTCATACTTCCCCTCACACCACCTCATTCAAGATGAACTTACTCCCCCAACACCACGCACCTCCCCGCCGCCCTCCAGCACCTCCCCGAGCGCCTCCTGGACCCGCAGAATGAGCTCGTCCAAGTGGTCGTACCCGAGAGCACCCGGCGCAAAAGAGGGCACGAACCTGCGTGGCAGTGTGGTTTCACGGGGGGGCTTAAAACGTTCTGAAGTGAGGTCTTGAGGCAAAAGGTTTTCCCCCTGCTGCGGTGGTACATGCCTAGGCCACCAGCAATTGAAGGTTCCGTGTGTAGCTAAGGGATTCTATAATCAAGCGATATTCATCGTGACGACAAAAAACCCTCAGATCCTTTAGTTCTGTGACGCTGAAGGAGTATCTACGGACAACTCCTTATATCATAAACCTAAATAACAGGTCGCCCCTGACCTTCCAACGCCCCCTTAACCTGCGCAAGCGCCCCTCCTCCCCCCCTCCTTCTCGCCCCTCCTTCCCGCCCTCCTTCTCGCCCCTCCTCACCCCCTCCTCCTCGCCCCTTTTCCCCCACCCCCCCACTGTGCCCCGCCCCACCTGTCCAGCTGCAGCTCCAGGGATACGGGTGGGCGCCCGGCAGAAGACGACGACACATTCGCCAAACTGACCAACAGGACCCCTCCAGCCCCCGCCCCGGGCCCTGGCCCCCCACCAGCCGATGGGGCCGATGCATCCACGACGAGTGTCAGACACTTGACCAGCAGCAGCGGAGGGGCGAGGGGAGGACGCTGCTGACGCTGCTGGGTGCCTGCTGATGCTGTTGTTGTGGTGGTGGTTGTGGTGGTTGTTTCCGGTAGGTAGAGGAAGGAGTAAGTACCGCCCTCCCCGTGGCTGCTGCTGGTCGTGGTGGTGGTGGTGGTGGCGTTGGCCTTCCGGTTCCAGTCCCGCAGATCCACCTCCTCGGAAGGGAGCGAGGCGGCGCCTTGCGCGACTGTAAAAGCAGTTTACATGTGTGCATGAGCGTGTGTGTGAGTGTATGAGTGTCGTGTGCACGTCGGTGTCTCTGTGTGTGTGTTCGGGATACTAAAAGACGCGAGGAGTAAGCGTGTGTGTGTATGCGGCTGCGGCTGCGTGGGTAGGTGTCTGTCTGTGTGTCTGTGTCAGAAGTTACAAGTTCCGCACGAGTGCGGGGGTGTCCGTCAAAGCCCTGGGGCCATGGATTATATATATCAATATATATGTATATATTGAAAATTGATTCCGCCGTACAACCAAAGGCGGTTTTGGTCCGGCCACCTAGGCCCTACTCATCCAGTAAACCGATATCCGTAGAGACAGCCATCAGCCATCACCACCAATTCAGCATGCGAAACTTAGTCCATCAACTAGACATCCACATCACACCCTAAAGCTCCCGATCAATGTCGGGGATCTGCCCAGTGTGTGTGCTCTGTATGTGTTCTGTTTGTGTGTGTGTGTATGTGTGTGTGTGTGTGTGTGTGTGTGTGTGTGTCTCCGCGGCTTGTGGAGCGACAGGAGCGGGAGAGTGTGAAAGGAAATAAATCGATATCACGAGGTATATGATGGTACGCGTGTGCGTGTGCGTGTGTGGTTGGGGTTTGGGGTTTGGGGAGAGGAGCAGATGGGCCGGGTTGTAAGCGTTCAGGGCGGAGGTGCGGCCGCCGGGTTGGAGCGACCGACGAGCATAGCTATGCGGGGGAAACGTGGGTGAAGGCAGCAGAGGTTTGCAAAAAAAGAGATTCACGCGATGGCAAATCATACAGGAAGGGCTTTGGTTCGGGAATCATGTGTATTGGAAGGTAGAAGAGGTTAAGGGAATTTTGGGGAGGTGTTCGGAGGCTGTCCGAGTCGCCACGTCCTACCTGCTTCATCCACACCCTCGCCGACCTTGCACAAGCTGAAGCCGTTGACAGAAACGATAGCATGCACAGCGAATGCTGCCTTGTCTGCGGTAGACCTGGTGCGTACGACGGCGTTTGGGTTCCACCACCCGAACTGGCAAACCTCAGCAAACTGGCAGGGAGAACTGCTAGGCACAAGAGGGGAAAGTGAACATAGCAATAGCACAAGGACGCACTTGAAATCAGGCCTCGATGCTCTAATGAACGCCGTGAGCGCTTGGGGTGTTGCCATCCCGGAAGCCTGGAGACTCCGCCGCTGGGGTATCTGCCGGCTTGTTCTATAACTTGCACCAATTAGCAGCAACGTGCTATTACAACTCCTCGAAGTTACGCATAAACTGGAATTAGCTGTTCCGACAGGGTTCAATCTAGAGTTGGCCAGTATGCAAAGCAGTTTGTTGAGCAAGATAGAATCGTTATAGTATCCGAATATCGCTTACTTGCGATGGTAATCAGCGACCGCGTGAGTGCGGAAAATGCAAGCTAACGTTGCACCTGCCGTGCATTTTCCCAACCTTGAACCAGGGGCCTGCAACAGGGGCTCGGCATTTATAAAAGTTTAGGCATGCATAATATAAAGTAAAGCTGGTCGGGCTAACATAAGCCCGTGGCTTTCATTCGCAGCGGTGAAGTTGGTTGTCAAGTTGCATACAGCGGTCGTAGTTGGATACACAGGATATATCACTTGCGCACAAGTTTAATTACTTGAATGAAGCCCTTAGCTTGTGTTTTGGTGTAATGTAAATATAGGAGTCGACACGTCCCAGGTCCCGGCGAGCGCAGGCTTTTACCGGAGACGCCGCAACCATGATCAAGTTCTTGTTAATGGTCAATAAGCAGGGGCAGACGCGCCTAGCGAAATACTTTGCAGAATTCCTCAGCACTGATGAGCGTAGAGCGCTGGAGGGGGAGGTGGTGCGCAAGTGCCTTTCACGGACAGACAAGCAGGTCTGTGCACCGAAAACCGCCATTGGTAGAATAACACCTGGCATCCTTCACACCCAGTGCTCTCACAGACGCGGCTATCTTTCTTTCCCTGGGCATCTAGAGCTTTTCCTCCCCATTTTCCCTCCGCAGCTTGAGGCGCATCCTCTACGTTGTTGCACGCACCCCTTGTCTCAGCGGGCGCGGGCTAGAAGGCTTACTTCCCACTCTCTCCTGGCAGCTGATCCCCGGCTCCCGCCCTAACACTTTTTCTTCACTTGCGTGTCGAAACACCCCTCTCCGCGTCGTACATTTGACCACTAACCTTTTCGTGTGCTCTCCTCATCAAACTCATATCACACGTTTCCTCGTCTCCTTCCGGTCGTGCCGCCCCGCAGTGCTCTTTTTACGAGCACAGGCAGTACAAGATCGTGTACCGCCGCTACGCATCTCTGTTCTTTATGGTTGGAGTGGATGATGATGAGGTGAGGGCTGTGAGGGATGTGGGGGACTAGAGGGCTAAGGTTACAGGGCGAGGTTGGGGTGGAAAAAGGCGGCGACCCAGATGGCCTCTCGGGGGAAGATAGGGGGGAGGGAGCTGTTCCGGGGGAGGTAGCCACCGCGCCTGAAGACTGCCCGGCGGCGTGCGTGGGTTGCCGGGTGTGGGTTTGGCTTCGGAGGGAGAGAGCCCAGCGCCATGTTGGCGCGAAGGGGGAGGAATGGAGAGCAAAAAGCGCGTGGGAATGGAGGTGTCAATTGTTTGATGAGAGAAGAGGTGATTCTGAACCTCGACTTCCTGTATTGTTCTGGCCACCCGTAGCTTGCCCCCCAATATTGTGGGTAATGCCCCCCTGGGAATCGCTGACACTCTACGCCGCGGCCTCGCGCACTTGGGGCCCTTCGCCCCACCGCGGCCGGCCCACTGCCTCTTATGCAGGGTAGCGAGCAATTGGACAGCAAGCGTTGCGTTTGACTCATTAGCCCGTATAATTCTTTTCGGTCGTTTGGTTGGTTGGTTAATTTCCCCCTCTTTCCTCTTGAACTCACCGTATCCTTCGACCGCGGCGGACCCAGAACGAGCTGGCCATTTTGGAATTCATCCACTGTTTCGTGGAGGTGCTGGACAAGCACTTTGGGCAGGTGGGAGGACCGTGCGGCTGTCGGCAAGTACTGGCAGTGTTGCTGGCTGGGTTGGGGGAATGGAATGTGGTGTGCGGTGGCCATGTCGGCTTGTGTGTGAGTGGGATGGTAAGGTATGTGCCGATCAGATTTGCCTTCCACGTGCTGTGCTGTCCTGTGATGTGTTGTACGGCTTGCATGTTCGCGTAGATGATGAGTGGGCGCGAGGGGGTGCAGGGTGCAGCCACAAACATCATCATCACAGGAGGAGGAGGAAGAATATGTAATGGACGTTTTGCATTCCTTTTACGGGGACTGGGCTGCTCTGACGAGCGGCATTAGGGTACTTTCCTGCCTGCCAACCGGCCTCGTCCGATTCCTCGTCGGCCCTCTCTTGCCTTGGGGTCCCGCGCTTGCTGGCTGGGCCACTTGCAGGTGTGCGAGCTGGATATTATGAACGAGCCTGAGATGGTGGGTGCAACGAAGGAATTGGGAAGGAAGATCGAATTATTGGCTTTTGCGTAGATCGTTATGTCGTCAGGTACCTTCCGGTGTGAGCAGCAGTCCGCCGCTTACCCTCCTCCTTCCATCACCCATCAAGAAAAGCACATGTTGTGGACATGTTTCGTCGCCTCGCCTTGTCGCCATAACGCTGTAAGAATCAATTCGTCTTCCTTCCCTGCCGCGGCCCTCCTATCCTTCCCATCCGTTCCCTCCTGTCAGCATTTATCTTCTCCTGGACTACCCGTCTTTGGTATCTCGTCCATTCCACTCAGTGGTTCATCTTACTGCCCTCCCGAATGTCCCTTCTGAATCGCCCTCCGCCCTGTTTGCTTGCTTGTGGATTTATATTATCTTTGGCGCAGGTGCATTACATACTCGACGAAATGTTGGTGAATGGCCAAATTGTGGACACGAACAAGACCAATATCCTGGAGCCCGTGCAGCTCTTAGAGCAGGCAGCGGCGTAGACATATAGGCAGCTGGGTGGAGGAGCTGGTGGCTGAACCCGCGACCGTGGCAGCCGAGCTCTGAACTAATTTCCCAGGTGCTCGCACAGGCTGCGTACAAACGGTCTTAGGGTTTTGCGATTCTTGCTGCGAGCCGCTTCGGCATTTGTCGGTGGTCATGTTTCCTGTGAATTGTACGTAAGGGTTTCGTATCCGACATGCGGGTTGAATGTGAATCGATACAGGATAGTTGTTTTGGGATACTGCAGAGCGACATCTCTTTTAACATGTGCATCGAGCTTCTTATCTGTTCGAATTGCCACGAACAGATTGGAAGGCGAAGTTGCCGCGACAAGCCACGGCAACTTAAATAGTAAGAATGCGATGTGTTAAGATTGCATTCTGGTGTCTGGGGGAATTGGTCAAGCTGTAAAGCCTATGAGGACAGCTCATGACGTCAGGCGGGAAAGCACTCCCTTCCCCGTCAGACGACGCCAGCCAGCCATATTTAAGAACGCATCCGGTCTGTTGTATATTGTGCATGATATACATCCATTTCCGCACAGTGAGATGACACCTCACGTCGTGCCCTCATAGGGGGTGGTCGAAGTACTATTATACCAATAGGTTAAGGTGGACATACCATTAACAAAACAATGCAATATATGGGTGGAGCTGGGTGCTTTCTTGAAGCGTTGCTACTGCAGTAGCCGCTGTCAGACTGAATACACCATCGATACATGGTCCATCCCATCATGTAGGTGACGCGATTTAAGCATGAGCGGTTGCTTTCCTACAGTATGTCCAGATCTCGCTTTATATGTGAATGCATGACCTTGAATGGCATTAAGCACATCAAAATTGCCACCTCATTTAGTTTACGCCTTACTGCAGACAGTTAATGCTATCGCCGTATCACTTAAGTTTTACCCAGAGGTACCTGGTTCGCATTTTACCTTGCCAACATCCAGGCCAGCGACATCAACCTGAGACACAGCGCTAGTCTAAGGAGTTTTGCAAAGCGACGTTCACGCAACAGGCAACTATTGTGCCATCCTTCCTATTCCAGAATACCTGACAGGTCTGTGTGCTTCTGCGGACCGTTAGTGGAACTAGAGCTGCCCTGCTGGACTAGAGTTGACGGAGGCACCTACCTCCGCTTTACACCGTAACCGGTGAGACGGCGCAAATCGAGTGGTCCTATTTCTTGTGACGTAAGCATCTAGGCTTTGTAGACTGTATGCGCATGCACAGGGCAAGTTCTGGAGAGGGGGCACGGGTAGCACTGTGGTAACGCCGTTTCTGTAGCGTGGCTGAATGAGGTTGTCCGTGCATGGATTGTTACTCAGTAGTTATCCCGTTTAACGGGTGCTCCTATGTGACGCTTACTTCTTGGCCTGGCCGCTAATGTCGGTCAATGGAGGCAGAGGGTAGGTGCGGTTGCCTCGCGCACCTGCTCGAGGCTACATGGGCGAACTTATAAAATCTCAAGGGTTTATGAAACCTAATAATCTTGGAGGCTTTAGCCAGCAGGCGGCGGGAACTTGGGTCACGCGTAATTATGGACCCACTTGAGGATATTGTGCTTTGCAGCAGTCAATTGTTTCCGTTGCACTGTGTTCATAAGCTTGTTTCGTTTTATACCTTTTCCGACAACAGGGCGTACAACGCACCGGCCGTGCTGGCTCTAGCAACTATGGAGCCCGAGCGCTCCAGCCCGGCCATTGCCGGGCTGGCGCTCAACGCGAGCCTAAATGGCTTCCTTAGAGGAGTGGTACAGCATCTCTTAGACAAGGCGCCGCACGCAAACTTCTTCCGCAGTGCGGTGTCCTGCGTGGTCGTGGACGATTATCGCGACCATGTTCCATCCGACCGGGAAATGTATTTGAACAAAATCCTTGAGCGTACAGAGGCTCACTTCTACTCCGACGTTGTCGCGTTCCGCGCGGACTTGCAGTTATTGTACGAGAACGCTGCAGCTTACAATGGCCGTAACGGCGGTAAGCACGCCTACGAACCCGTCATTCACTGGGCAGCCGACCTTTTAGCTGCCGCAGACAGGGAATTGCAACAGCACTCGCAGCCGGAACATGCGTTCGCCCAGGAACCAAAGCTCCCGCTCAAGGACCCGGCACAGGTAAACAAACGGTGGGGTTGCTGTACGACAGCAAGCGATGAAGCTGCCGTACACGTTGCCCGCTCAGCCTTTCCACAACAGCGTAACACGTCCCGTTGCCATGCGGCTTTAGTACCTCCGCCGTCCAGCAGGACGCGGGGTTGCAACTTGCGCAACTTGCGGAGCATACGAATCGTCCTACACGACGCTTTCCGTGCTGCGCAGTCAACCACTGCACATACTGCATATAATTTCACACACGATCCTCACGTCCCTCAAATCGGCCGGGTACCCAAATGACGACGCCACCGCTCTCGGCATTTCCCAGCTAGCGGCGGGTGAACCGGGCCAGGTGGCGAACGGATATTCGCCCAGGACCTTTCCTTTATCCGGGGTTGTAAAGGTGTAAAAATGTACACTAGGACAGATATCGGACCTGTTATATATATAGAGAGAGGCAACCTGTTATATATAGAGAGAGAGGCAAGACTAGTTTGGCGTGTACATTCGCACGCGCACGCACTGTTCGGCTTCCCTGCACTGCGCTACCTGTAACTGGCGCCTTTATCCTTTTTCCAACTTCGAACAACCCCTCGTAACTGCATGTAGCAACAGCAGCACCACCAACTACTGCTACTGCCACCTGACGTGGCGATGGAGGATGCTGCCGCGGACTTAACCGCTGCGCCGGCTGCACCGGCTGCAGCAGCTGCTGCTACTGCTACTGTTGCTGGGGGGGAGTTGATGCTGCTGCTGCCGGCAGCAGCGGCGACGGTACCTAATGGCTGCAGCCCCCCTCCTAGTCCCCCCTCCCCTGCCACAGCGCCACACCAATGCGACCCCGCAACTCCTACCGCTGCGTCACCCCAGCTCCAGATGCTGCTGCCGGCACCGCCGTCGCCACAAGCGGCAGCAGCTGACGAACCGCTACAGCCGTCGCAACAGCCTCAGGATGAGCCCCAAGCTGAAGAGGGAACGCAAACGCAGCAACGACGGGAGGAAGGGCAGCAGCAGCAGCACCAGCAGGCCGTGCAGCACCAGCAGCAGCTTCAACCCGTGCCTTCCGGGGCAGCAGCGGTTTGCGATGGCGGCCAGAGCTCGCCATGTCCTGGCGGAGTCAACGGCGGCTCCGCCGGGCAGCAGTCCTCTTCCCCCAGCAGCGGCAGTGGCGACGGATCTCATTCAGGACTTGAGGCGCTCCTTGCGGCCTGTGAGCTGGCGGCGGAGCAGGACTCCGCCGCACCTCGTGGCGGCCGCGGCGGCGGTGGTGCTGACTCCGTTGCGGCCGCTGCTGTCCCGGAGCGGCATTCTTACCCGGGCTGTAGCGGGCAGACGAAGCAGCAGCTGCAGCAACAGCATTCGTCACTCGAGGCGCTGGAGGGTGGGGAATCGGCGCAGGATGCTGCAGGGACAGCCTTGGGACTGGGTCCCGTCCCAGCGGCGAAGGAGCAGCGGGAACGTGAGTACGCTGCGGGGTCATCGGAGGGCGGCGGCATGGCGCTATGCTGTGTGGGCAGCGGCGGAGGCGGAGGCAGTGCGGAGGGGGTGGCCACGACCCCGCCGGCGGGGGTAAATGGAGGCGGAGGGCCTGCCGGAGGGTTGGGCGGTACCGGCGGTCCGGGCGGCAACGGCGCGGGCGGCTCGTACTTGGCCTCAAACGCGTTTAAGAACCGGCGGCACAAGAGCAAGGTAAAGGCGCGGGTAGAAGGGGGAAAGGGGGCCTTAGGCGTGGGAAGCGAGATCATCGATGTAGTCGACTCCGTTAACTGGAGCATATCACCAGTGTGAGGGTGTGTGTGAGGGTGTGTGGGTGCATGTGAAGAGCGCTAGTAGGCGGGTGATGAGTGAGGAGAGGTGGTGACGCAGAGGGGGGAGGGCAGGGTCCCCCTGGCGATGCGGCTGGCCCAACAAATCAGCTGCGCCACCTGCCTGGACCATCCTCTCATGCTTGTCGCAGCGGGTGGTCGTGTCGCAGCGGTGCGCCGGATACCTTTCCTTTCTTCCTCTTCCCGCTGAGGGCAACCTGCCACCCCACCTAGATGGGGGCCTGTATCCCTACCAGCGAATAAGAATACAGCGCTTGTGCTGGGTGTGTGCTCTGGACATCTCCAGCGCACGGCCTGCCGGCCGTCCTCTCGCCCTCTCCCTTCCGTCTCCCCCATCCCCCCCCCTCGTGGCTCCTCCCTCCGGGGACCGCCCCTCCAGCAGGTGTACATCAAGCCCAACAAGGTGGTATACCTGCCTACGACCTTCGTGGAGGAGGAGTTCGATGTGGCGGCCCTGCCTCTGGACTGCGAGCTGCGGGTGGAGGCGGACGGGGTGCTCACGGATGAGACGTTCAGGGTGAGTTGCGCAGCAAGGAGGAGGATGGGGAGGGGAGGAGGATGGGGAGGGGGGAGGAGGAGGTTGGGCAGCATTGAAAGAGAGGAGGGGAGTAGTGCAGGCGGAGGTAGGGAATGGAGAGAGGCGAAAGGGGAGGAGGTTTTGCATGGCATGGCACCCGTCACTCGGCCATTCTGCGTCTCTTTGTGCTCACTCGCTTGCTGCCCTCCCTCCTTCTGGCCCTCTCCTCATGCCACCCGGTGGACCTCCTATGGGGCTGCAGGTAAGCATTAAGGCGGTTCCACGTCAGGGACTGTCCACCATGTACTGCATGACCAACGTGATGCGCTTCCAGCAGCAGTACCTGAACTGGCAGATATATAACTGGACCAGAGTCGACAACAGCCACATCAAGATCCACCTGCAGGTATGTATGTTGACATTGATGAATAAATCAAATAATAGGATAATGAATAAGTGAATGAATGAATAACTGAATAACGTAATTAATTTGATTATATTAATTAATAATAGTAATATATATATATATATTATACATTTTTTTAATTTGTTTTGTTAATGTTAGTGTAAATGGATTGAATGAATGAGGGAGAAGGGGATTGCACATGGATGAGAGAAAATCTGTCTGTCTGTTTGACGTTTTCCCTTTTTTCGTTCAAGCCAGCGTTGTTAAACTCGTAATTTCAATCCCATTCCACCGATTAAGGATCCGCCTCTGCCGCTGCCTCTACACACGCGCGCACGCGCGTGTGTGTGTGTGTGTGTGTATCTCTCCGCCCATGCAGTCCCCCAGGGACCTGGTGCTACAGCGCCCTGAACTGGACCGGTCTGCCAGCATGCCAGAGGTGAGACTTCGTGACGTGCTGACCTCGTTCTTCCTTTCCTCCCTCTCTCCTTCCCTGCCCCCCTCGCGCAAACGTGCGCGTCTGTGCGCGAATCGGGAGCTCCTTGAAACGTTGTTTATTCACCGCCCCGCCCCACGCCGGGCCTCCTCCATGCGTCGGTGCTTTGGATGTCGGCATGTGTTGTTTCGTTTCTTATTTTTGCATCATCCTCGTTAAAGTATCCGCAGCATATGTATGTAACCATGTAACCATAGATGTATGTATTTATATGTATTTATATGTATATAAATATATATATATATGTGTATGTATTTATATGTATATAAATACATATATGTATACGTATATATATGTGTATATTTACACAACAGTTCTTATTATCCTCCTCCTCCTTGTTCCATTTCCACTGCGCATACATACACCGAACGACCCACTCTTTGGCGGCGGTGTTGGCTTCATGACGGCAGCAGGTCGGCCGCACCTTTGGTCACAGCTTGCGAGGAGGCAGCGAGGACGGTGCGTTGGTGCAGCACCATGCGGCTCGGGGGGCCGGCGGCGGCGGGGGGCCCGGTGGCGCCGCCGCCGCGTCGTCCTCGTCGCTGAAGCGCAAGAGCGACACGGGGCGATACAACGTCACCCGGGTCGAGCGCCGCCTGGTTCCGGAGCCTGGCGGCAGGTGCGGAGGACTTGGGTGCCATTAGAGAGCCTTAGCAGGGCAGTAAGGCCCTATTATTAGCACGACAGCGTTCGAGCTAGTGATTGCCAGGCGCCTGCATTTCGTAGGTGTATTCCATCTTTCTCGTCACGTTTTCTGTCCATACTTTCTATTTATGATTACCCATAAAATTGATCCTAAATTGATTCTCATGAAATTGATTTCTATTTATGATTTTACCCATAAAATATTTTGCGATGTTCAGTAAAAATCTTTGTTTTCTGTTTCCGTGTTTGATAATCATGTTTGGGAATAAAGAGTATTTATGCGTTTCCCGGCTTATCTTGTCTCGGCGTGTGGCCGTACGTAGGGAGGTTCCTCTGCCCCTGGAGCTGCGTCTCCCCGCCACGGGCTACCTGCAGTACCCCAGTCCCATTCCGGAGAGCCCCCCAGTCAGCCCGCAACGCCACCGCATATCAGCCGGTCAGGCAGTGGTGGCGGCGGCGGCGGGGGCGGCGCTTCCCCCCCGCGGCCCGGGCGCCCCGGCTCGCGGCCTTGCCGGCGCCCAACACTTTGCCCATCACCACCACCATATGCATCCGCCCCATCACTCGCCTCCCCAGCAACAGCAGCAGCAACAACAACATGTCCAGATTCATCATCACCACCACTTTGCGCCGTCATCGCATTATCAGCAGGGCCAACAGCCACTTTTGGGCCTCTCTCTATACCATGCCGCCGCCCAGCAGCAGCAGCAGCATTTCCATTCGCATGCGCAACAGCATCACGGCGGCGGCAGTATTGGAAATAACGCCGGCGGCAGCGGCAGTGGTAACGGCAATCCGCTAGCGCTCTCCTTCCCGCTCGCTCAAATGCAGCCGCGCGGCAGTAACAGCAGCATCGTCACGAAACAGGACCAGCAGACTTGCAGTGAGGATAGCAGCGGGCCCGTGCTCGGTGCAGACGCGACGGCATCGGCTGCGGCAGCAGCAGCAGGGATGCCGTTGCAGCTTTCCTGGCACGCGACGGCGTCGGCTGCCGCCGCCGTCGGTGGCGGCGGAAGGACCACGCGGCTTCCAGCCACTGGCGGCGGCGGCGGCGGCACCGCCGCCACCAGCATGCGCAGCAGCACAAGTGCGCTACAGCCTCTGGAACTTACGCAGCAGCAGCTGCAGGAAGTTGCGGAGCAGCTACAGCTTCAGGCGCAAGCGGTGGGGACCGAGTTGGCCCCGCTCTCGGCGCTACAGCTGGCCATGGCAGCGCTACAGCAGCAACAGCAGCAGTCGCTATTGGCGGCGGCACTGCCGCGCAGCGGCGGCGCCATCGACGTCGGTGCTGCTGCGGCCAGCGGCGGCGGTGTTGTCACCGTAGCGCCCTTGGACTTGGCGACGCCCATAGATCAGGAGCGGCTGCTACAGCAGCTCGGTCTGGGGCCCGGCTCTGGGGCAATCTCACACTCCCAGATCCGCAGCAGTGGGCACCGCGGCAGTGGCGGCGCCACCGTCAGCGGGGTCGGGAGCTTCCTGCACCTGGCGACATCTGGCCACCGGAGCAGCGGTGACGGCATGATGACGGATGGTGACTATCCGCAACGAGGGCAGAGTAATTCGGGATCCCTGGAGCCGTACGCCTTGCTTCAGCAGCAGCCGTCCCATTGCCATCACGACGAGCAGCAGCAGCAGCAGCAGCAGCAGCTGCGAAGGTCGTCCCACGGCGACCGGGGCCGGTACGGCGCTGTCGCCGCCGGAGCCGGACAAATGATCCGGAACGCCTTGTCTGCTGCGCAGCAGATGCAGCAATACGCTGAGGAGGAGAACAACAAGAGGCCGTTAGCTGACGCCGCGGGAGATGCCACCGCCGCCGCCGCCGCGGCCCTGGCCGCTGCTGCCGGCGGCCGCACCTCGGATCATCAGCTCCACCAGCTGCATCCCTCACAGCACCCGCCGCCGCAGCAGCAGTCGCAGCAGCCGCACCATGATGGCCTGACGGTGGAGGAGGTGGATGAGCACCACATCGTTTGCCATCCCCGTCGCAGCGCAAGCGGCAGCGGGATGCACGTCGTCGGTGGCGCCGCCGGCAAGCTGTTCCCGGCGGCGATGGGTACCTTGGTCAACGGCGGGCGCATTTTGCTGGAGGTTGGTTCAGCTGGCGGCGGCGCCGCCGCCGCCGCCGTTGGGTCCCGTATCAGTGGCAGCGGCCGCCGCCTTCCTGGCGGTCCCGGAGGCGTTATTTCCCACATGGACCTGGCACAAGCTGGCGGCATTGGCCTGGCGGCGGCGTTCCCTGGAGCATTGGAGCTCCCTGAGTACAACCCGGCGGATATCATTTTCCTGTCGCCAAGCAAACGCTTCAAGATAGCTTTTGGCGCAGACAGCAGCGCTGCCACTGCAGCAGCGGCCGCTGCTGCGGCGGCGGCGGCGGTCGGCGGCGGCGGCAACGGCGAGTTATCCGTACTTGAGCAAGTGCTGAGCCTGCGGGCGGCAGCAGGGCTGCCTGTGGCAGCGGAGGCAGCTGCGCTGGCGGCGGCGCTGCGCCAGGGTGGTGGCGGAGGCGGCGCAGCCGCCGCCGCGGCCTTGAGTGGCCGCCCCTTTCTGCCCGTTGGCCCTGAGATCATGGGACAACTCCTGTAAGGTCGCTCGACTGTTCCTCCAACGGATGCCGACAGCCCTGAGCTCTACCGACGAAGTGAAGATACCTAGAAGAGTATGCGCTGAGCTTCGTTATATTGCCGAAGGGAATGGAAGGGATATTGCGGCGACCGGGCTCGCAGCTGCTGCTGTTGGAGCTTTCTAGAAATGCAGAGAGACCGGACCACACTGACCGGTTGACCTTTTTGGGTGCGAGTTGGGTTGGGGGTTGGGTTGCATGCACCGCGCCGCGCCGTGCTGTGTCTCGCCGTGCCGAGGAGCTGTCATTTGCTGCTATGTGACTTTCGCTGCCGCTGCCGCTGGTTTGGTTCGGAATGTTGTTTGGTGCGGGATCTCTTGCCTCGTGCGTGTGTGTGTGTGTGTCTGCGTGGTGTGTTCGTGTCGTGGATTCGTGTCGTGGAGTCGCAGTGGGTCTTCGTCCGTCTGTGCAATATGAAGATACACGATAATAAGTTTGATGATGATGATGATGATAATGGTGATGATGATGCCTCCAGAGGCCTCCTTGACATTGATTAGAGAAAACAGAAAGGTTAGGGAGCGAGCTGCCTAGGAGAGGGCTTTGCTGCCAAGGAAGGGCTGCTACCGGTTTTTTCCAGTGCTCACATTTGGCGGAATTTGATGTTGTTTGTTTGCGATTGGTTCTACATGCCGGTCCACGCGCCGTCTAATCCTCTGCTGTTTTTCTCAAATCTTACATGCGGCGGCTTTCTTCTCTCCTTGTCGTTGTCTTTTGGGCCTCTGGTGCGTTAGGATGGCACGGTCGAGGGGGCGAAGGATGGCACGGTCGAGGGGGCTGTATAGTTCTTCATGAGGTATGGTCTTTGGGAGAGCCGCCTTGAGGAGAGCTTGGGCGCCGCGTCTGCTTTTAATGTGATGCTCCAGAGTGAGAGAGAAAGAGCGCGGAGAAGGAATTGGTGCTTTCTTTATGTTATCTTTTTCTTCGCACTGATGCGCCTTGCCCGTCCTGCAGATGAAGAGGATGAAGAGGAGGAGGCTGTCTGTCTGTCTATCTGTATGTTGTGTATCTGTCCTGCTTCGTGTCCCGGAATGGTGAAGTGCGTTCTGGGTAATCGAGCTGGGTCGCATAGCAGCTTTTGCTATTTTTGGGCGGGTGAGAGGTTTTTTAATCTACCGGCGCATGGATCGTTTCAGAGACAAGGAAGGTGGGAAAGGAACACAGCTCCTTGTCGTCATCGTCGTCGTCGTTGTCTTCGTCGTCATGTCTAGTGGGAATAACAGAATAGGCTGTTGGTCACCCGGCATGTGCACTAATAGCAGTACCCTCATGGTAAGGTCGCGCAATCGCGCTGCATGCTGGTGACAAGCTCTCTTGTTTGCTCGTTAGCCTCCAAATTTGCGTCCTGGTTGGTTCTTGATCGGCGCAAATCCTGTGGATAAGGAAAAAAGGTTTGCAAGTATGTCTGTACGTCTCTCTTGTCTCTTTATCTCTTGCTCTGTGTCTCGCTGCTTCTTGCTCCTCAAAAGCAGGGCGTCGTTACCCGATGGCTGGACTGAGGGGTAAAAGGTTGGGCAAAAGGCACGTACGGCAAAGATGCGGCGCCGTTGCCTCTCCCTCCCTCTCCCTCTTTCTCCCACGTGTTGTACCTCTGACCCAAGCCGCGGAAACCAACCTTCAATGCGCGGCGGCTTTTGCTTTTGTGCAGTAGGGTTCAGCATTTTTGCGGTTGTATGCTACTAGGCACCTTTCTGCCGCGGCGGGTGGTTTGTGACTATCAACTCGACTGCGACTTGGCACATATGTGCTGCTGCGACATATGTTCTGACGGGATAAGCGCGAAGGGCGGCAGGGCGTTCGGCTTTTGCGCATTGAGCCGGACCGTGTGGGAAGAACCAAAATACATCTGTACCTACTTACCTACATACCTTCTGACTGACCTGACCAATGGACCGAGTGATGTGTGTGTGTGTTTGCTAAGATGGACCTTAGTGGTATCCGTCCAGAACTGTTGATGATGCGAGACAATGTGCTGAGCACATAATCGCGTGTGGCTTTTGAGGGTGGTCGACACAGCAGCCGCAGCTGGACACAGCGTTGTGGAGGATAGGATTGGGGAGATTTAGGTGGATGAACGGATGGATGAATGGATGGACGGGCGCGAAATGGCGCCGCGCCGCGCCGCCTTTTGACAGACGTGAGGTGCGAGGTTTGTTGTCGGTTTTGCCGTGTGACGCAGACACACGCAGACACACAAACACACACATATGCGGGCGGGCGGAGGGGCGTGCGCGCCGGATGTCGGCCTCCTTGAAACCTATTGCTGTGTTATTGATGTTGATGTTCTGGGTGCCCGAGTTGTTGCTTTAATCCTTGACAGCGCGCTGGAGCTGAATGTTTTCATGTGCGCCACGGGACATTGGCGATACATAGTCTTCGATGCGTGTGGTGGCACCCGGGGTCTGGGGCTGCTGCCGGACGGGTTCATGGACAGGGTAGGGGGCCCGGGCCTGGAACGGGTTGGCTGGCTGGCTGGCTAGCTCAGCTTGCGCCTTAGTCGGCTGGGCGGAGGCTGCGTGTGGTCTTGAGCGGGGCATCTTGCAGCCCTTCCTAACATGCACGTGTGCACCCTTCCGTTGGCTGCCCCACGTTTCTGGCCCCGTTCTGCTGGATCGATTTCCGCCCACGTCGGATTCACAGAAGGTCTCTAGAATGTAGTATAAGACTTTACCCTAATTACTTACTACCATTACACTGATAGCATGTCGCAAGAGACATCTTTGATTGGGTTTAGGACCGGGACTCTGACACATGAACCCCTTGCCCGCCCGCCAGAGAGGATTCTAGTCTCTGGTTCAAATTTGTGCTCTTCTTCGAATAGGCTTCAGTATGTGAGAGCATTTAGTTTTGGCTGTGGCTATTGCTCGTGAATCTCTCTATCTGTCTGTTTCTATCTCTCCTATCTCTGTATTCCTCGCTGTGTGTATATACGCTGTGTGCCGCTGCGCAGGCGGGAATGTCCCTTCCAAAGCGTGCATGACCGGCGCAGCAGCTGCAGCAATATAGACTGAAGACCATCGTTCCCCTTTCCCTTTCCTTCTTCTTGCTGCAACTGCGGTTTGTTGCTGCGCGCTGCACGTGCACGCACAGCGCATGGCTTGTGGCTTAAGGGCTTTACTTGCGCCACCTGCCGTGTGCGCGCTGTTTTCGGGTCGGCCGCTGAAAGGCTGCACGTTTGTTTGATGAAAAGAGTGCAATGGCTGCGACTCTTCTTCTTGTCACCTTTTAAACTACCGTGGACCGCATATGTGTGCGTATGCGCCTGTATGTGTGTGTGTGTGTGTATGTGTGTCTCTGTGTGTCTTCTGATGTCTGCGTCTGCTGGTACTGGGAAGAGAGAATAAAGCGGTCTCTTTGAGGCGACGGCTTGCGGATGAGGCGGCACATCAGCACTGGGGGCAACAGGGCGCAGAGGTTGGGTAGTACGCGCCTTTATCCTGCCCAGTAGGGTATTTTGGCCTCGCACAGCAATGGCGCGAAGCAGCGACATGCCACACGGCAGGAAACGTCGAGACCCGCAGAAATGTCGTGGGGGTGTGTGGCGCGGAGAGAAAGAAATCTTTGCCGTGAGAGGTTGTTTGTTCTTCTTTCCTTTGTGGATGATTGGCGAAGTTTCAAAAGTTGACCCCAGCGTGGAAGATCGTTGTGGGCAGAAAATCTTGCGTTTAATGTCTCGCTACTTTCGCTGCTTTGCTGCGCTTTTTTTTGTGTGTGTGTGTCATGTGCGGCGGTTGCGTTTCGGTAGATGTACCGCCTCCCCTGCTTTGGCACTGCGTTACGGGCCCTGGGCTGTCCCTGTTGTACCTCCATGTAGCCCCTGTGTACAGTCGCTCTCAGGCCGTTCTCCGCTGCGTGGGGAGCACTGTTGTCTTTCTTCTCGTCGTCGTCTTTCGTTGGGATTTGCTGCTTTTAGTCTCTTCATATCGAGAACTTCTTCCTTATCCGCGCAACACGGGGTTCCCACGTCCTTTTCCTTCCGGCACCTTTAATAGTGCCATTATATCATTTATTAGTTGTAGCAGTAATCGTTACAGATGAGTTGACCCAGCCGTGTAAGACCCTGTACAGACCGCATACGTGTCGCGTCGGTTGACCTGTTCCGTAGGTTCATCGTTGGGAGGCCCCCTGTTCCCCCTACGCCTCCTGTGCGGTTCTGAAACCGTTCTAGCTTCTATTGTCAGGGATGCGCCTTGTTTATAAACCTTGTTTATCGCGCCACAGCTCTTTGACCGACTACGCAAGCGTGTCGCGTCCTAAAACAGGGAAGGGTGGGGGAATCCTAGGCCAGAAGTCAGCCTCCGAGCTTGAGCAGCTCCGGGTGTGTATCGGGGATGAAGGAGTGATCCTCAGGGGGGAGAGACGCATGGACCACGTTTCCGAATACCCACGAGGACCGCCGGTGTGTGGGCGGGGCGGAAAAACTGCTGGGCAATGAACGAGAGCTGCTCACGCTGCTCTTTGCTGCGTCGAGTAACCTTATCACAGCAGGTCAGGGCGGGGAGCAGTGCTCACCTTCAGCCAGGCGTTTTGAAAAGTAAAGAGGGAGGGAGGGAGAGGGGGATAGTGAGCAATTCGGAGGTGGGGATCCAGGTTGGCTGCAGTTGCCAGCCAATGTCTTGACGAGCTTGAAATCCGAGAGCTCGACACCAGGGCAGATGATCTTTGCTGTAAGACCGTACTGCTGGAGCTGGCAGGAGCTGGCGTCCTTTTTTGGGTTAAGTTGAAACATAACATATGATGCACCGCTGTGCGTTGATATGGACATCCAAGGGTGTGGGAGCCTCATTACGACAGAGGCTGTGTGCGGGGCGCACGGAACGCCGGGAGGGGGCAATTAGGGTTGTAACCCTAAAGAGACGGTTTCGACTTGAAGCTTCCAGGTCTGAGAAGATATTATGGATCGATGATGGAAAAAACGAGTCCACGAAGCTGGTGGAGGAAGGCGTGCCCTTTATGTAGATGACGCGCTAAGGACAACTGTCCAAGACACACCTCTGTCCAACTGGCCTTCCTTGCTCCTTGGTTTCAACTTCCAACCAAAGCAACAGATTGTCGCTAAGGTTGTCGTTCAGGAACTACATCACGCTGGCGGGCATCTTTCCTAATACTGACGTCACGCTGGCAAACGATGATTAACGGTAAAAGCACTCTCGTCCCAGGCACATCTCCCAGCGACTCAACGACTCTGTCAGACTCAAAGCATGTATTCAATCTTCGGCGTTTGTCCGTGTTTGTACTGCTGTGGCTCTGATCTTGTGTTAGCCTCCCCCCTGCACGTGAGCAACAAGCTCAAGCAGTCCTGTAGGACAGCCACGGTCTCACCGCCAACTCAAGCTGGTTGCGTTGCTGACTTACAGGATTGGCAGGCCCTCTGTCAAACTTGTACCAAATGGTACGGCATGACCTATAACATCAGCACGTGTCTATCACGTCCATGCACACCCTTGACATCAAATTAGCCTCACACGTTATTCTTATAATATTGGAGCATTTGATACAGTTACGTAAGTGATTGCCACCGTTTTTCCATGTTAAATTGCGTCGGCTGCATCCACGCACATCCATGGAGTATGGCTACACGTACAGCTCTCAAAGGCCGGCTGATACCACACATTACACGTAGGCGTACTTTACAGCTTTAGTAAGCTCTCCTCTGTCAAGACATTGTGAAGTCTTCACGTTCGTCTGTACATGCCCACGACCACTTGTTCCAAATGCTGCGCTGCCTGTACCAAGTCTGTCCCAACTCAAGAACCCATTTTTCTTGGTATATATTCCTTAAAGATGTACAGGGCCTTTTGGTTTCTCCGCTTCATGCGCCGACAACGAAGATTCGAGAAACATTTAGACGAAGGTCTGCAAACATGATTACTTAGGTTGCCCAGTGACGGGCAGGACAATCCCGTGGGTCATTGACAGATAATTTATAAGTGCAAGCAAATTCATCTGCCGTTACCCAATTGCTTAAGGTTTGGGTCGGCTAGAATTCGCGAAGCTGCATCGAACCTGCAGTCTGTGGGTTGTGACTACTAGGGACTACTTTCGCGTTGACGGACAATTACCTTTGCAGAACTTGGCAGGCAATAACAGCAGGGTAACTGTATTTATCTTGCTCTCGTGGGATGCGTGGGCTCGGGGAAGTGCATTCATCTTCGACCCTTCTCCAACGTTTAGCATTACCCTGGACAAAATATGCCGCAGTTTTTGAATGTTTGCTTGAAGTGGGACTATCCACCTCAAGCATTAAGAAGCGACAGTAGCGAACACCTTTTCAGGAGCACAACGACGGTTGTGGTTCCATCACATTCCCAGTTTTGGTAATATTGGCAGCACCGTGCCCTTGGTAAATGGCCGGTGTTTCGTACCGCCAACCGCCAGGGAACTCCTACCTGGAAGATGAAAACGTCATGTACATCTCCTGAATATTGTACATGGTCAACGAAAATTGGGTTACGCCTCTTCCTCAGGCCGGCCGCCGCACCGGCGCGTTACGAATCGTTGAAGCGCGGCGAGAAGGGGCAAGATGACCCCCATGTTAGGCAGGTGTGCCCCTAGGCGGTTGTGTTTTCCACCCAGGCGGGAAGGGTGCAAGGCTCAAAGCAACAGAGCGCATAGCATGCGATACAATCCAAGCCTGGCGTGACGAAAGCCATCGAAACGGCAGTGGAGCAGGGAGTGTGTCACCCTTTCGCCATTGATTCATCACTGTCTTTTGTTCAAGATCGCCTGCCCTCCTTTTTAATAGGCACTTAGGGGACGTCCTCCAGTTCGTCAGATAGGGCACTCTGTGCAGACGGGCATCGGCCTAGGAATGCAATGTGGGCAAGGTTGGTCAGGAACACTTAAGCTCTGCGGTACGCCCAGTCAGAACCTGATTAGTCACACTCATCTGCGTTTTCTCCTCCATAAACGTGTTTGCGACCTAGGACTGCGTCGTGCTGTTGCCCAACGTGACGGGTTTCATAGGGACACCGAAGATGTGCGCCACGTCACCATGCTTTCGCATTTTTTGGCTGTAATCCGTATCATGTCCTTTAAAAATGCGTCCCGCCGTCCGAAAGTCCACCTGTGTTGTGTCCCGCCGCGAACTCCGTGTTGCTAAATCGGTGCGGTGCCTAGCATCAGGCGCTTTCCTTCCCTGCCGCGCCCTTACGACACTCTCCATCCTGCCTGCACATGCTGCGATGCCCTAGCCGGTGCCAACACCATAACCTGCGTAGAGTCGGCCGGCACTGGCACAGCACAATGTCCAGGTTGCAGCTATCTGCAAACCTGCCACTCCTAAAAAGATAATATTTATGAACTGAACGGTGTTCCAGTGGTCATCCTGATATCCCTGCGTATATACCATCAACAGCCAGTGGCACAAAGATGGCGTTCCCAGCTGTGCATATTGTTGAGGAACACATCAAATATCCTTCTATTTATGAAGGGGACGCATCCCTTGCTGTCCTGGGCTTACGTTTGGTGGTTTGGGTAAATGTTCACGTTCACTACTGACGTCGTACAATGAACCTTTGTGCTCAGTTATACTCAAACAGTTACCGTGAGCTGCCCAATCATGCAAGCACTAAAGGTTTAGGGTTGAAGAGTCTCTTTGCCGTGCAGAAAGCTGTCTGCAGCTAGTATTCAACGACTGTAATTTGAATTTACAGCTACTTCTGTCAGTGCGTCAAGTTTTGGGAAGAGTTCTCGTGCAGCCCTAATTATACCTACGAATTGAGTGAGTCTTCTTTCTGCGTCCGGTGTTGGCTAAGGAGCTGCTGCTACAACCGAAGCAGCCAGAGCCTGGCTTAACCAAGCTTACCCCTTCTTGGACACGTTCCCTACAGTTATACATCAGCAGCGGTCCTTGCTTGCACTGATCTCAGCTTGTTGGCCATAGGATCACTGGTCCTCGCGTGGGCGAGGACATCATGGGAACTAGCAAGCCGAGGACGGCGGCTTGTTACCTTGGGACAGTGTTACTAGTCAGTCTACTACGTCTTGCTCGCGCCCAAGGCACTGCGGTTCCAGGAGACGCGCAGTACCTCTTCGGGTTCCCATTCTGCCAGTGCGATGATTATCGTTGCACCTCGTCTCCATATAAGCCGACAGTAGCTTCCCAAGAAAACCTTGCAAACGGACAGTACCGGGTATGCTTTAGCTTTCAAGATGTGGGCTGCACGTCTGGTAACGTTTGCTGCGAAGCCATTTTACAGCAGATGTCAAAGGTTGAGTTCCAGGCTGGTAAGTCCCTTCGGAGAATATTTGAGCGGGTCTAAAGGTGTTTGGACCCATCACGGGATGAGCGGAGCAGCATGTCGCCACACAACCCACCACCCGCAGCCCGCTCTCCCGCCCCGCTCCACGTTCCTACTTCTCCCCTTGCTTAGAGAGTCCACTATGTCGGATGTCCAATTAATAGCAACTGATAATCTCGTTTTTCGCACTCTTCGCAGACAAGGTCTGCAACAAGAGCATCGTTGCCGCGACCTTTGGGGGTGTCAGCTTTACTGGTTCGACCTACTTTGAACTGGATAACGCCGTGGGTAAAGTCCGTGTGGCGGGCCTTGCCGCGACGCGAACAATGGTGCGGAACAGCCAGCTGTGCTTCACCATTCGGCCGCCATGCGCTTCTTTCGACATCTTTTTCCAGTCCGCTAAGCTGGGCCTCACAGGGCTGTTCCAATATGCCATCTTCGACCAGACTCACAATTGCTGCCCAACATGTGCACTGAGGCCGCCATCTCCCCCGCGCCCTCCTCCCGTCTCGAGTCCGCCACCCATGCCGACTCCACCCAAATCTCCTCCGCCCCCACCGCCGCCGCCTCCCCCACCGCCACCGCCATCGCCTCCTCCTCCGCCACCGCCGCCGCCTCCGCCACCACCACCACCCCCTCCCCCATCGCCACCGCCGCCGCCGCCTCCACCACCGCCACCGCCGCCTCCACCACCGCCGCCCCCAAGCCCGCCGCCACCACCGCCGCCACCGCCGCCACCGCCACCACCACCGCCACCACCTTCGCCACCGCCACCACCGCCACCTCCACCCCCACCACCGCCGCCACCACCGCCACCACCCCACCCGCCGCCTCCACCACCGCCACCTCCACCGCCGCCACCGCCGCCGCCGCCGCCTCCGGTTCCACTTGCACCCTCTTCCCCATATTGCGATTGCCTCAGCCCGCTCGTGAACACTAACAGCCGCTGGGCCGTTTCATACGTGGCCTCCAACATTACCAACGGTGAACTACTCTATAACTTCAAGATATCGCTGAATGACGGTACCCATTGCCGGGCAATTAATTACCGTAACGGTTCTTGTTGCAACGCAACCCTGGAAGGCGTGTCCCTACCCATATTAGACCAATACCGGACCGCCTTCCTCAAGGCCGTCGTGGCGCTGGGTGACGAACGGTTGAAAGCTAGACTCTACAAGGTCGAGTACGAGTATGGCCTGCGGCTACAGTTCAACGAGCGCCTGTTCGTGACGAGCTTGCCTGCAGGCGCATCGTTGGCGATGACTCTGTTTGTCGATCCGGCCATCTGGTCGGACGCCAGCAAGATTCCTTGCCCGCCGTCGAGATTGGACCCCTATGGCAGCGCTTGCGACTACTGGCTGCACGGCCTGCAGACGGCGCCTGGCAAGCCGGAGCAGGAGCTGGTGAGGAGATTGTTGTGAAACAAGAAAGGAAATGTTAGGGTATGGCGTTCCAGGGCGGGCGACATGAAAAAAGACGATTGTAACCATTCAGATGATGCATGGTCGTTAGTCATGCTGTAACTATATTGCAATAATTTGCACTAAACGCGGTGCATGCTCCTTGGATTTTAGATTGAGCTGATCATGACATTTGTGGTCCCTCATCAGCAACGTATTACCCCCTCCTCCCGTCCATTCCAGGTCAACGTCCAGACCGCCGCCTCATGTTGCCCTGAGGGTGTCATCAGCTTTTGCCCAGCTGACAACGCCGGTGCCTGCATGTCCGACCTAACCGCAAGCCCCTACACCCTGTCCTTTGCGTCTCGTGTTCAAGCCGGATCTAAAACCATTTTCAGCTTCCAGCTGGCCCACCGCAACCTTGTCAGTACTTGCTCTGCCATGGCCATCGACAGTGTTCTGCTTTTCGTAAGCCGTTCGTACGCTTTACCAAGCGCCGCTGCGACTCTGGGCTCTATCAGCACCACTGTCGCGCCGGGTAGCATTGGGCCGCAGTCGTATCTGAACATCTCGATGTCGTCTTACGCTTCCGTACAGCCTAACACGCTGACACTGGAGTTGGAAGGGAATTTGGAGTTGTCGGACATTTGCGTTACTCCCGCGGGCAGCTCTCGTGTGTGCAACTATGTCCTCGTGGGTGCACAGCGTTCTGGTGGCACATCGCAGGCGTGCTGCCCCGCCGGAAACATCCCCGCAACACTGCCGTCCGGCCGTCGTCTGCTTGCGCTGGCCGAGGATGTGCACGGAGTGCTTGCGGCGGGTGGCTCCATTTGCAGCAAGTACGACGCCTTCTCTTCGTGCTTTTCGGTTGCACCAGTAGAGATTTCGGAGACGTTTGATGAGGGCATGACGTTTTCCTACAAGCTCACGCGCACCAGCGTTGAGGCGAATTGCCCGTCTGAGTTCCAGGTGATGGTGTCATCGGCCGCCATGGCAACATTTAAGCAGGGCCGCGGCCACATCTGGGCCGGCGGTATTCCGGCGGGGGATCACTTCAGCTGGATGCTGCCGGCAGCCGGCTCCGCCGTCGATTCCGCGATTGGCTCAACGCACATTGTATCTTTTACACTTCGCGGTCACAGCATGGATCGCCTCAGCCGCGTGTGCACGCTACAAGGGCAGGATTCGTGTATTTTCCGCCTGCTAGGTGAATCAGGTTGTTACCAAGGTGAGGTGGCAACGGACTTCCTTTTTGGCGGTGCACGGCGTAACCAATGAGCGAGGCACACTGAACTGGGCGAGGAAGTGGAAAGGAGGAAATTGATGGGCGGATGGGTGCACCAGCGGATGCGCTTTGATGTGGTGTCAATGATGGAAGCCGGCGAAAGCGTAACCGGGCGTGCTGCTTGACAGCACCAGCGCTCCATTGATCGCAACACAGTGCCACGTGTGGTGCCAATTCAATACGGTTTCTTCGTGCATAGGTGCAATGCGTTTGGTGCCCCACATGGGCAGCACGACAGTCGGATGCCGGTGATCTTCCAGCTTGAGATTTGGCCAGTTCCGGTGGCGTGAGGATGAAAAGCTAAGATGAGAGTAGTAATGTTTGTGTAGTGGCAGAAGACGTGAACCGTACAGAAACTTGCGCTGAATCGCGCATAACCTAAACCCCAAGGGGAAGGGGACTAGAGTGTGAAAGGGGGGCAGGATATGGGCCGCAATTCCCGTTGCATTGCGGTGCGTGCGCGCATGGCGACCAGCATTTATAACAGCCGCAGCTACATGCTTGCGGACTTGGTATAGCGAAGTCTCTGGCACCTTCATCTTAGCTGGGGCAGCGGTCTCGCCTCTTAGTGGTGCAACAATAGGCGATTAGCAAGCGTGCTGGCTTTGTGTTTGTAGTCACTCCATTTATTCCGTACTTTGCGGCGGGGCGGTGAGTGCACCGATGTGCGGCGGTGATAGTTTTCCCCAAACATGTAAGCTTGTCGATACCTACCCTGCGCGTTCTGAGCCTGTGACGTTGGCACCGAGGGTTCGACCCATGGTGCTGCTGGGTTCCTGGCTCTGCAGGCGAAAATCAACCGTAAAAATCAGCTCAACATAGCTGGCCAATGGAAGAAACCCCAGGTTTCATTAGTTATGCTAAGTTTGTAGGAGTAGACCCGTTGATCAACCTGGCCATAGAAAGGCTTATGCACTGAGCCACGTCCCTCATCGGAACTATGAGTTTTCGCGCTGAAACTCTATGCAGTAACAAGTGTCCTTATGAACATTAATGTTTTCATTAAAACTTGTGTACTGTATGCCAGGAATTAAGTTGTCCCACGCCTATCAAGGACCTTAGAGCTGACGTACCTCTTTTGATCAGTCAATTTGAAGCAACGCAGGAAACCCACCAACGTCCTATAGTTATCAAACATTCTCCTTATTAGTACTGCATTGCGATTTAGCTCGAATGCTGCTCCCCTTATAGACATCGAACCGCGGACCCTGGCAGGATGACGCAGCCAACGAGACCATTTGATGCCTTATATGGTACGTAAATATCTGTGGGAATGACTATTGTCGTCATGGAATAGCTAAGTTAACGTTGAGCATGGCCGGTCCCATCATTCTCGCGGCCCCACAGACACCACTTTTACAGTGGCCGGGCCACGTGACCATTATCGACAACAGACGCTAGGCGGCGGATTCAACATTGAACGGGCCCCCATCTACAACAACTTCTTTTCGGAGCTCCCGCATTACCCGCCTTCAACGCTAAGGTGTGTTTAATGCCAACCTTCTTAACAGTATCATCATGTCCTTGAAGCTGGGCTTGGGTAATATTATTGCACCTGGGATGCGGCCCATTAACCGCTGCACCCTCTCATGGTCCCCCACCCAGGTTGAAGAATGGCGACCGACTGCCCGCCTTCATCGACCGTAACTACCATCAGCAGAACCGGGACCAGACAGATTTGCAGCAGCGCAGTGACGCTATGGCCGTGTCGGGTAACCAGCGTCCCAAATATTTTCGCCGACCGCTCCTCGCCGCGGCGGAGATTCACGTGAAGCAGGCGCCCCTGCCGCCGCTACCTCAGTATCAGGACTTGAACGCCACGGCACCCGCCGCCATGGGCGGCCCCGAACCACGTAGCAAAACCATCGGCACACAGTCTGACTACCGTGAAAATGAAGCCCAAACCGCTCCCTGGGAGCCAGATTATGTGCTCCCAGAGCACCCCACAATCAAGCAGCAGGCGCTCAGCCAGCGCCACCATTGCGATGGCCCCGAGGTTCTTCACCTGCGCGATATGGCCTTTGCGGACGGACTGCCGGCGGGGCTGCAGGAGGTCATCCGCATCGACAAGATGCGTGCCAAGCGTGCTTTTGAGGCGACGCTGCCGCCCATTGACGATGCGGCGCGGCTGCCGCTGCGCCAAAAGATGATTGAGGAATGGGAGGCGCGGGAGTGGGAGGAGCGCGAGCAGGAAATCCTGGACATTCAGGAGCGCCGCCTAGCACTGCTGGACAATGCGCTGCAGGTGCGAGCGAGGCTAACATAAACGCTGATACCTGGGAATGAGATTTCGGCATAGGCAGCCGAACCATGTTATAAAGTCCTAGTACCTTGGCGACCAGGTCCGGAAGGTGGGGAGCTGGGTTAGGGAGTGGGACAACGCAAGGATGGATGGCTCCGAGAGGAGCCTGGCAAGGAAACAACCGCAGCACGGCCGCTTCGGGGTAGAGGAGGAAAAAGACTGTGCCCAAGCGAGAATGCGGTCGGAAAGGATGCACCGAGGGGCGCCGAACTCAGAGGCATAGAACCATATTAAAATGGCCGGCGTGATGGAGAACAAGTGCGATTGTTCCTTAACAAGGAAAGGGAAAACCCAGGGTGGTCCAGGCCTTGAAACCAACCCATCTTGAGAAGGCGTGAGTGCCCGTGGCAGTTCCGTGCGCGTATACCTGTGCGCGCTGAGGGCGTGCCGGTGCAGGAAAGCACACAACAAAGCTTTTAAAGCGTCCGAGTGCGTTTAAGAGAGCTAACACCTCTCTGCATCCATGTGAATGATTGGCGATTGCTGAAGCAAGGCGCGGTTACAAAACTAGACGCGCCAAAGCTCGCTGTCCCTGGGACGACGGTTGCAGCCAGGCCAGTGGTTCGGTGGACCGGGGTTGGGGCCCCGGGTGTTGAGAATCAGGGGCAGGGCAACATGCCCGGTTCTATTCCCAGGACAGCTACAACGCTGCAGCCGGAGGGAGGGAGCGCGTGGCACCATTCCGGACAGGGCTGGCGGCAGGGGGCGCCAGAGGAGGGGCAGGGCGCCGCTCCTCGTCGCCATCGTCACAGCAGCAGTAACAGCAACCTGTAGAAGATTGCAGGGCAGGAAGCGCGCGGCACCGGTGGCGGTGGCCTGCCAGCCATGGCCGAACAACCCCCCGTGCTACCAGCAACACGGCCACAGGGGCGAACTTGCCACATGTTTCCACAGTAGCTGTTAAGTCATTTCTGCTGTCCCCTCCTTCACGTTGTATCCTGCGGTGTGTATGTGTGTGTACGTGTGTGTGTGTGTGTACGTGTGTGTGTGTGTGTACGTGTGTGTGTGTGTGTGTGTGCGTGCGTAGCACGTAGGGACAAGTATCTTATCTGTCCTGGGCTGTTGTTCTCCGTTGGTTCTGGTCTGTATCTATTCAGGGGACTCCCCGAGCAAACAGAGTCCCTTGAGGCAGTGGTTTCCAGAGGCAGAGCCGTAGGCTTTCCCTCGACTCGGAGCGCTGGCGAGCAAGCTCCAACCGAAGTTTTTCCAAGAGATTCAGATGTTTAGATGCTGACGGCCGTGCTGGCCCTGGGCCCTGGATCCGGTGCTATGTTGTTGTTCAGGTTCGTGAGGAGGAGCTGGATGAGGAGCACCGCCAGCGGGTGGACGACCGGAAGAAGGCCACGTTAGCGGCCCGGGCGGGCAGGTTCGCAGACGTGCAGGTGCGGAAAAGGAGCAGGAAAATGGTCCAATAAGAGGAGAGGGGGAAATACACAGAGGGGGTTACAGATGTTGCCCGAACGTAACGACGGGAAAAAAACACAAGGTTTAGGCACCATGCGTTGCGTTGTGTTGCATCGCATTGTTTGTCATCGATCTGTGATACGGACTCAGTTGCTACCCTTCCCTTTGACGTCATTGTGCTTATTTTTTTATACAATTTCTCTCCATGTTTCTCTCCACGACCTCCCTTCCGAACTTGCAGGCCACCCGCATCAAGACCATGCGGCAGCTCATTGAGAACCGCAAGTACGTGGAAAAGCACCGCAAGCTGCACAAACCCACCATCGTGGAACGCTACGCCAACTTTGGCAGCGGCACCTACGCGCCCCTGCAGCGCGAGGGTCGCTTTCCCGAGTCTAAGCCCATGGGCCAAGAGATTGAGACCGAGGGGTACGAGCCCGCCACTCTCAAGGTGCGCGCTTGGATCTCAGGTGCTGTCGCTTCAGCGGTAGCGGTAGCAAGCACAGCAGCTTGTTTTTTTGAAGGTGCTAGGAGGAGGAAAAATTACCTTTTGATGCTTTGCATGGCGGTAGTGTGGAGATGGGAAGACGCTAGTCGGTAATGAATGATACAAAAGGGTAATGGGTACGAGAGAGGAAACACAATTTGGGTAGGTTGCAACTGTGGTTCCTGAGCTTGGCAGCAGGCAGGCGCTCTCCCCCGCCGCCGTCTATGCTCTCCCCCCTCCCCCACGCCGCCGTTTCCTTGCGTTCCGGCAACCCTGTCCCTCCCCGTCGCGGTACAGAAGTACAGATACTTCCAACAACCGAATTGCTACCGAGTACCAAGTTCCGCACACACACACACACACACACACACACGTGCGGGGGTGTCCGTAAAAGCCGTGGGGGAGGGGCCCCATGGACGGTAGATAGGTATTGATGCGGGTACGTGGGGGCCATTATCATCCTCCCTCGTCCGCTTCGTTCCCGAAAGGTACCACGATCACCTCCATTGCCACCACACCTCCGTTTGGCAGGGTGTCCTGGAGCTGGAGGCCTTCCTGCCCGCCCGCCTGCTCAACCCCAAGATGTCCGCACCCAAACGCCCTGATCGCCTGGACTACGGCCAGCGTAAGGAGGCCGCCACGCAGCGGGACCTCAAGACCATCAATGACCTGTTGGACGTGTCCAAGGCCACCGCAGGTAGAGGCCACGGAGATTGCTGGCCAGCGCCTCTTAGGGACGACTCACTCGGCAGCCCCGGCCTGGGCAACCCGGGCTCCCTAAAACGCGCATCTTCAAGCAGCCTCTCAAAATCCGGCGCCCAGCAGCCGCCTGCTAGCGCGGGCGGCATGGGCGCCGGGCAGCTGCCGCCATCGGCGGCCGCCGGCAGCGGCACCGTCACCGCAGCGGCTGCCTCCGGCGGCGGAGGTGGAGCCGCCGCAGCCGCCGCCTCCGGCGGCGGCTCCACTTCCCCCTCGCGGCGCGTGCTGCGCGCGATGGAGCGGCCGGCGACGCCGGAGCTGCCGGTGCCGCCAGCGCTGTCGCAGCCGCAGCACGCGGCGTTGGTGTTGCTGCAGCGGCTGCTGCGCGGCCGTGCCGCTCAGAACATCATGTACGAGGGGCGGCTGCGGCGGCAGGAGCTCATTGATGAGTTGCGCGTGTCGGAACGGCTCAGCGGCGATGGGGCTCGCCTTGACGGTAAGATATCGAAGTGTATGCCTGGGGCCCTTGAAGAAGGCTTCTAAAGACGAGGCGGAAAAGAACGGGGGTAATGTAGTGGGCTCTAAACATGCTGGGAGTTAGATACGGAAGGGAAGGGTTACATCGGCGCCGCCGGGAGGACGGCGGACGGCATGGGTAGGTTACAAGGGGGGCTATAAGTGGCATGGCCACGGTGCACGAGGGACCCATGAGTGGAGGGGTACTAAGGTTTTTACGTGCGCTCTGCTGTAACCCCTTGGAGCACATTCCAGCACCAGCAGCAGACGGACACCACCATCAGCCAAGCTCCTACACATTTTCGGTGTACGTTCGATTGACGTATTGCTCCGGCATCCCATGTGCTTTTTATTTATGTCTTTTTGCTTTTTGGGGGCCCCCGTGTACTACGTATATGTGTGTGTCGTTCAGGCAAGCCAATCCGCCGGCCAGAGGAGCGCGACGCTGCAACGCTGCGACTGGACGCGTTGCTCGGGTCGACTGTGGCGGAGGTGTGTGCCGTACTGTCTGAAGTGGATCCGACCAAGCGCGAGGTCCTACTTGCGGCGCTCGAAACCTCCCGCGCCCACGCCACCGCCGCCGCCTTTGCCGCCGCGGCCTCTGAGCTCGCCTCTGCCGACCTCACCGCTGCCGCTGCCGAGCGCACCTCCCGCTCCTCCATCCCGTCGGCATTGCAATCGGCGCCGCTGTCGTCACTCTCACAAAAGTCCCTACATACGGCTGCTGTTAATCTCGAGGCGCTCGGCATCACCCGTGAGCAGGCAGAAGAAGCAGCCACACGCATCCAGGCGGCGTTCCATGGCCATAAGGCCCGTAAGGAGGTGGCGGCAATGCGCGAGCGCGGCGCACTGCTGCGGAACATCATGGCCAACGGGGAGGAGGGCAAGGTAGTCAAGTGTCAGGCAGCAGTGCGCGGCTATCTGGATCGCAAACGGGTCCATCAGATGCGACATGCTCAGGCGGAAGCACAGGCAGAGGACAGCGGCGCGAAGGCAACTGCTGGGGCGGAAGGGGAGGAAATGGGGGAGAGGAGCGAAGCCGGATTCGGGTTTGACCCCTCGTCATACAGCCCTGAGCAGGTGGAGGCGGCGAAGCGCATTCAGGCTGTACAACGCGGCCGGCTCGCGCGGCGGCGGATGGCGGCAATGCGCGCCGCACGGGACGTGGCAGCGGAGGAGCCGCCCGTCACAGGGGAGACCGGCGGTGACGAGCATACGGCCGTAGCGACGGAGAGGGAGCTCAATCCGGAATACACGGTAGAGCAACAGGTGGCGGTTATCAAGATCCAGGCGGCAGGGAGGGGCTACCTGGCACGCCGCCGCGTTGCTGCCATGCGGGTGGAACAGGAGCAACTGCTACAGGAGGAAGAAGGAACAGGCAGCAGGCGTCCCACTGTCATTGGCAGGCAGGGCGATCCGGAGATGTACGTGGCAGCGGCGGCGGCGGCGGCAGAAGCTGCTGCCGCCGCTGCTGCAGGTGGCGACACTGGTGCCGAAGATGAAGGGCTGTGGCCCAAGATGCAGAACCTGTCGGGCTTTGTGCTGACGCCCGCGGCGCCGCCAGGAGGACAGGAAGCCGTGTCATTGCTTCCGATATCCCCGGAGGCGGAGGCGGAGCGCGCATCCTCTCAGCGGCCTGCGGAAGGGGAAGCGGAAGCGGAGGCCAGCTTGGCGGGAGGCGGATTTGGCAGCATGGAGGACGCGGGTGCGGTGGAGGCGGAGGCCCCGCCAGAAGGGGAGCCGTCGCTCGCCGTCGGCAGCAGCGGTGCCGAAGGCGGCGAAGGGGACGAGCCAAGGCCGGCTCCGTCCGGCATTGCTGACGAAGGCTCGGCAGCGGAGGCTGCAGGGGAGGAAGCAGAAGAGGCCGGTGGAGAGGCATACAAGGGGCGGGACGGTGACGGAGAGGGGCAGGAGAATGGGCTTGGTGAGGAATCCCAGGCGGGGCCTGAAGAGGGAGAGGGAGGATATGAGGAGGGCGGAGAAGAAGGGGAGGAGGGCGAGGGCGAAGAGGGAGACTGGGCAGAGGGTGAAGGGGAGGACGGTGAACCCCAGGCGGAGTAAAGTGGTGGTGAACGGTCGGGTAGGTGAGCGGAGGCGGTGCTGCGGGTGCCTAGCGAAGTGGTTGTGTCCTTATGCACTTGCTTTCTTGTGGTGGTTGGGCCAGATGCCTGTGACTTTCATCACTCGTGGTTAGGTATTTGCACGCGGCTCGGCCTGTGATCCCTTGTGGTTTTCCCCTTTTTCCCTTTGGGGTTCGTAGTCCTAGTGCGCTGAATCGTGGACATGCAGTGAGGTGTTGCTGGGCGAGGTGCAATGCGCCTTGTGCCTTGGCGCTGTGGTGGCGGCGAGGGGGAGAGACGCCGCATTACCAGCGATGCGATCCTCGCCGCGTCGTCATTACTCTGCGAATGTACGGTAATCGGCGTACTGTCCCCAATCAACACGTTGGCAGAAGAAGAAGGCATAACATGTGTGCGTATGTGTGGATAAGTAGTATGCACATGCGTGGCATTGCCTCTCTGTCGGCTCCATAGGCCCTTGGCGTTTTTTTATTGGACGAAAACAAGGGAGGGAAGAACGTTTGGTGGCTTAGAGGAAGGGCGGCTTAGGCGAATGACGCCCTTTGCTGCTGTACACAAGAGGCATCAGCAGCAAAGGAAAAGCGGGTCGGAGGGAGCATGGGAAGAGGGGGCCAGGGGGGGAAAGGGAGAGACTGGTGATACATTAGTGAGTTGCTTTTGCGAAGCCGGCCTCCCTCAAAACCCCCACCCCAAGGAGCATGGGCGCTAAACCGAAGAAGTGCCGGGGCTTCGTCACTCATTCCCTCGTGAGTTTGTGTGTGTGTCGTCCCAGCTTCACCGCGACACTCGCAATCCGCCGTCTGCATTTAGTTTGTATGTTGGGCCCGGTGTTCCTTCCCCGTAACCCTCTGGGAATGTTACTGTGGGGCGGGTGGAGGACAAGTATCTGTAGTAAATAATGAATCCGTCGGCATGCATGTTAACCTGTGTGCATGCAGGGGGAGGACGGGTGGCGGCCTGGAGGGCTGCTATTTTGTGCTTTGTTGCGTTGCGGGTCGTTGCACACCGTGTAAGGAGGCGGAGGGAGCTATGAGTGAACATGTGTTTGAATCTGTCTTTCTGTCTGTGCAACCTTTTGGTTTGCTGCTGCTGGTGCTGCTACTGTGCTTGTATGTAAACACATGAACGGCGGCTGTTTGTCTGAAGGGTAGCCTCTTGAGCGCAAATAATCAGCTCGGTGAAGCATTCATGTCCTCCACAGTCACCTCCGTGCAGCCTTTATCATCCATGTACACCGCACGCAGAACACCGCACGTCAACACCCACCCTTAGCCGAAATACACCAACCTCGGCGCACCAAGTCCCTCGGGCTGTGCAGAAGGTTCGCACGCAACCTTAAATCGCTTCAACTACATCCTCAGGAGAGGCCCAGATATTCATTACATGGTTTCTTTGGCAGGAAAGGAAAAGTCACCCGTTATGAGGCAGTTAGCAGCGCTTGGAACCAGGGCAGGTGCCGTACGGCTTCCAAATCCACGTCACGTACTAGCTCGGATGGCCGTACGGCACCGCAGCTCAGCAGCGCCGTCAGCAGCTGATGAGCTTCCTGGTGATGGCGGTAAGATACCGTCAGAATTCCAAGGGGGGCCGGAAAGGGTGTTAGGTTACCAGGTAACGGGAGGAGGGGGGGAAGGAAGCGGGCGAAACCCATGGGGGCCCCCGGTCCAGAGGAGAAAAGACAAGGTGGACCAGAGACGTCATCCGAACGCGATCACGACAAACCCCAAAGCTGCCAGGGTATCCGAGAAAGCGCCATCAGCTCCTAACCGGGTGTAGCTGGTTCCGAGAACAGCCCCTTTTTACCCCTTGATTGCATCATGCCGCCGCACGGACTGATCCACAACCCGCAAAACCGGCCCCTCGTGCGCATGTCCATGTGCTGCCGCCGAAACCCGCCGACGGCTGAGTGACTACGGATAACTGATCTTCTCCGTCGTCATCCTTGCAATACCCGGCTTGTGCCCTTGATGCCGCTCAGTTGCTGCTTGTTGAAGTAAACGTGTTTACGGATGAGACACACACACACACATACACACGCACACACACACACACACGCGTGCGCGCGCGCACCTGGTGACGACCCGCCAAGGCCAACGCACACGCCAGGTTGTATCGCACATCGCAGCGCTGTCGCCAGCCCCCCAGCCGCTCAGGGCGAACTACAGCCGACTGAAGCGCCGCCGCCGCCGCCGCCGCGTGCCGCTGCACCGCTGCATCAGCGTCGCTATTGCCGCCGGCGGAGACTGCAGCCGCGGCTGCTGCCTCCTTGGAGCTCTTCCGCGCTAGCCTTGCCAAGGCCAGGTGCACCTCCCCCGAACACACCTGCACCATCGCAGAAGGGCACGGCAGCAGGAGGATGGCCCGGTCAGCACCCTCGTTCCTCAGCGCCCCTCCTCAGCGCCCCTCCCAGAACCTGCAACCGGCGCAAGACCGGCTTTACGTTGTCTAGGCATGGATGCATAGCAGCATAGGAGATCACACACCGCATTCACAGGACCCACCCACCCACCCACCCACGCACCCACCAGGGCCTCAGGGTCGTCCCTCCGCAGCGCCAAAGCAGCGGCGTAGCCGCGTTCCAGCGCCGCCTGCAGATGCGCCGTCGCCACGTCGTACCAATGCCGTACGGCTGCGGCATCATCAGAGGATGTGGCGAGCGCCTCTGCCGCCTCACCCGCCGCTGCCAGCGTGTCCCCCAGACTACGCAGCGGCGCGGGATCCCCCCGATCAAATGACGCCGCCTGGGCCAACCGCGCGGCGGCTTGCTCCAGGAGGGGCAGACGCGCAGCGGGATCCTGCGGCGGCGGTGGCGACGGCGGCGGCAGATTGAAGTGAGAGAGCGCGCGTGCATGGGGCGCGTGAAACGGCAGTGAATGCAGCGGAACACAACCCCTCGCGAGGCTGCAGGCTATTTTGGCTCGCGCTCTCCAACATGCCTCCAAGCCAGCCAACCTTCCATCCTTCCCGTCCTCAGGTTTCCCCCTTCGCCTTTCGCCGTCCCTAACAAATGGGTAATAAGGATTATTATCCATTAATCTTATTCGACACAATTTTAGCTCGGTTAAAGTGGATTTATCATAGGCATAGTAATGTTATCATTGGCGTTTTCTAACTTAGCTTGCACTTACTAGTGGGAGCGGGTAAGACAGAGGGAGCCATGGATTGTACCATTAAGCTAAATTATAAACCACATTAAACCCCCGGAACACACCTGCAGGCAGGTGGCCAGGCTGCGCAGCCCGGCGCCCCAGTTGCACAGCAGCCCCGGGAGATCGTCACCTGCGGGACTCGGATGGGGACCGTTGGCGGTTGTTGGGCTCTGTTGGGAGTTACTACTGGGGGGAAGGAGTTACTACTGGAAAGGGCAGCAGCGCGCCAACAAGAGACAGCGTCACAAACAGAAAAAAAAGAGACGTAAGGACCGGAAATCCCCAACCCACGCCATCGCGGGGGGTTCTCCCCCCTGTCCCCCCCATGCACACACCCCGGCCCCTGACCCAAATCTCCCAGACCCAACCCAGGTGGCGTTCCATCCCCTCACCCTGCGTGGAGTCACTCATGGAACAGGCGGCCTCGTACGACGATATAGCTGCCGAAAAGTCGGACTGAGACTCCGCCTCGCGCGCCATCACCCACTCCAACGGTGATGGCAGAAGCGGAGGCGCTTGCTCCCCTGCCGCCACTGCCGCTGGCGGCGGACTAAACAGCTGTAACGCCTTCACGGCCTCATCGGGATCCGCGTCCCGGACCAAACGGGCGATGTCGTGCAGACACGTGCCGCTTTGGACGAGCACATCACCCAGGTTGCTCAGGGTCTTGTAGGAGGGGGGAAAAGGGGGGGGGAAGACGAACCACGTGAGCGCGTGAAGCTGATGCCAAGGGGGGAACGACTGATGTCGCAGATGTAAAAAAAGCAGAACTGACCAAGGGAGGAGGGAGGAGGGTGGAGGGGGTAACAGAGGGTACGTACGGAGACGTGGAAAAGGAGGAAGCTTAGAGGGGAGCCTCGTCTCCCAATTACACCTTGCCAAGCATCTAAACTGCATCTCCGCAACACATACACGCACAGGTAAAAAACGACACCATCTCTAACTCTGCCAACATTCATGAACATTTACATGTACCATAAGTACGGACATGTGCCACCATACACACGTATGGTCGTCCACGCACAAGGGCGTCTTCCTCACGCGCGATAGCCGATCTGTAGCATGCCGCCGCTGAGCGGTAGCAGCGCAACGTCATGTCGTACATTGACAGACATTCCGTCAGCGGCGACGCCAACACCGCGATGCCCGCTTCCTCCTCCAAAACTTCGGCCAACGATGACATGCAATTGCCCGCGTTAACGGAAACCTCCGCCGGCAACGCCGCTGCCACCGCGGCGGCGGCAGTGGCCGCCGCTGCCGCCGCCGCAAAAGCCGCCGGCAGCGATGCCGCAGCAGAAGCAGTGCCGCCGCTGCCGGCTGTGGGTTCTTGGACCGTCAGTACGGCAGCCGGATGGCAGCACGCGTAGTGCCGCAATGCAATCGTCAGGCGCTGCATGGCAGTCACGGCGGCCTGCGCGGGGTTGGAATTTGGTGTGTGGGCATCCGTCTTTATCACCAGGCAACGCGAGAATCCCTTTGCCTGCCCAGTCAGCACTAAACTACTGTACGGAAACCATCCGTTATATGTATTAAATGCTGTACCTGACGCTCCACATCTGGTGTGAGCTCCGCATCCAGCCGTGCAGCCGCCGCTGCCATCAACGCCTCCCCCAGCATTTGGTGGCACTCGGCCTGTGGCGCCGCGGTCGTTCATTCGCCGGAGTCACCCTCTTTTTAGTCGGAGCGGTCCACTCGCGTCCCGTGGGTCAATAAGCCAATGCGGGTCGCAGTCGGTCGGTCGGTTCGTGCGCAGCACCGTACCGCATTAATGCCTGAATCGATTATGTTGGTGCGTTGCAGTTTACGTACCCATTGGGTTACAAACGCCTTTAAAAGTTTCGCCCGCCGCGAGTCTCGCTGTTCTGATCTGGGTCAGAACGCAGACGGCACCTTCATCGATTTGGGTCGGCAGCAGGAAGGCTCCTCCGGTAAGGGCCCGGTTGCCGCCTTCACCCTCACAGACGCAACCCCCATAACTTCCTGTGCGCTCGAAAGCCGAACGTTGTTTCTTCAGCACCGAGCACCGATTGAGGCCAACCCCGCCGGGTAGCCATTGAAATTCAATCCAAAAATCCACGTTCGCCGTTTTCCAAAGCAGCTCCCTAGAAGTGTCCTTGAAGTGTCTCTTGTGCTGTCCTTTAAAGTCCCCCCTTAAAGTCCTTTGTGCTGTCCTTTTAAATTCCCCCTTACAGATCCGCAACCATCGGGATTCCCATCGGAACAGTCCATGCGCAACGGGTTGCGATACGGTATGATTGCTAGATTGGGGTTAGATGAGCTTCCGCAGGCGATGCCCATATTTGCTAGAGTGGATCTAAAGGTCGTTCGCTGAGCAAATAGTCAAGACAGGCTATAGCAAAGATACCAGTTGAGTCGTAGGATTTAGGAAACCCGTCATAGGATCACTTCTCCGAATCCCCAGGTCGCCATTTCCAGAGCTTCGAGCCCCAAAGCCGTCTGTAACACACCAGGCTGGATCTCATGTCGATAGCCTCCTCCCAGGAGGCAATAGAGCTGCGGCCTTCGCCCATAGAATGCGAGGGTGTTGACGCATTTTCTTGGGGGGCAATGCTTAAGCCCTGCCGCTGCTGCTGCCGGACCAAGGCCTCAAGAGCTTGCTGGTATTTGAAAGCTGCCGCCTCAAATTTAGCTGCAGCTTGCAGGCCTTTCCTTCGCTCCCCTTGCTGTTGCAAGCTGTCGGCCTCTGTCGGATACGGCGATTAGGGAGAGAGTTGAAGATGGTAGACGGCACAGCTATAGATTTCGACTAAGTATGTATAATAAATCGTTCATGTCTCATGTGGCACTTATATCCGTGCGAATACCGATACCAAGAACACGCATTCTTAAATCCAGGCCTGCCGGCTGAATCGGGAAGGATGTGGTGTCTTTCAACGCGCATCTCTCACCATCTGCAAGTTGGCGGGCAGAGGGCTCGCCAGTGCACGTCTCTGACCCTGATTTTTTACCGGGCCTCCCAGGCCCAAAGCCCCTTCTCATTGATGCGCGAAATTATTAGTGGTTTAGCATGAACACTGATTCCTTCCGTGGTCCGTCAATCCGCGTCACCGAGGGCTGGTACGGGTGGTACGGACATCCGACTCAGCTCTCTGATCATTAGCAGAGCGCCTCAGCACGCCGGTGTTTCGGATAAATTGCATGTTGTTGCTTTCGCTTTTGCAAGGCAGTATATTTTCACTGCGTCGACCGTGCTTCCTGACGTCGTTTTGCTCGCGAGTTTTTTTATCTTGGTAGACATTATTGGCACAGACCGGCACAAATACGGCAGGTCATACGCCTTTTATGAAGTAGAAGTGCACGCGTGAGCAACTGCGACTTTGGCACAAGAGTATGTCGCCTGTCCTGACGCAGCCGGTTGCCGGCACGTCGACTGGTATTTCGCGAGCAGTACCGAACTGCCAATCTCAAGCGCTTCGGTCGGGTGGCCCAGTTGCTGGTGCATCCCGCGGCTCGCCCGCAACGTCGGGCCCCACGCCCGCCGGCATCCGTCGGGCAGTAGAGCAACAGGTTGTTCCTGTTCTATCGCCGTCTGCGGCCAACTCAAGGTATACCGTCGCAGCAGTCAATGGATGTGTGTCTTTGTGTGCCTGCTCCTGGACGCTCCCACATGCCGTCATATATGAAGCCAGACGAAACTCTCTGGACGGACTTGCAATTACCGCTTGTTTAGACATCGCATAGCTCATCTACATATATGTTAATCTTTACTGTGCGGTTTTTCTCACAGGGTCGACGATATGGACGGAATCGATGCAGCGGGGAATGCGCCCTCTTCGCCTTCCGCAGCTGTGGCCACCGCAAAGGCGCACCAGCAGCACAACTTGACAATATCTTCAACAACGTCCTCGACTTTTGGTGGCAGTGGCAGCGCGCTCGGCCATTCTCAGGTTGGGCAGCAATTGAAATTGCAACAGTCTGAGCCGATGCAGCTATCTGGCTTTACTGCTGCCAGCGCACAGAGCCGGGTATTCAGCTCGCCAAGGCAACCGTCATCAACTGCTGCGGGTCCATTTAGCCCAAGGCCATCGCTTTCACCGCTGCAGGAAGGCTCTGGCGTATTGGAGTCGTCGGGCGATATTTCTCAAGATGTGGGCCTTACAGCACCCTTCACCTTTATTCCCTTGATGCATGGGCCGCCATCTCCAGTGCATTCGTCGGCGCCATGTTCTCCAGCTTCCTCTGTCGTTCTGTGCTCCGGCGCGTGTCGGTCGTCCATCGCGTCCGCCACCTACCGAATGACCTCCTACGGCATCGACTCGACCTCCAGCGGGTTCGCTTTCGCGTCCAATACTGCCCTCCCAGCTGTCGCTGACGCCGCCGCATCGGTATCTGCAGTCGGTTCCACTGCCGCTGCCGCCGCCGTCAACAGCGGCGGCGGCGGCAGCAGCGGCGACGGCAGCTGCCCGTTGGTGAATGCGCTGTTGGGACCGCCTGACGCTTTCCGGCAGTGCTTTTCTGAATTTGCTTCTCCGCCTTCTATCCAAAGGCGCTGTGCAGCTTCAGCGGCGCCGCAGCCCCGAGGGGGGGCCCCGCCGCCCGGGGCGGCGCCAGCGGCACAGCACCACCCGCCGCCGCGCGTCACAAACTGTCTCCACCGTCCGCATACCGTCCATACCTTCGTCAGCAGTGCCGCTGCTGGTACGGCAGCCGTATCAGCCGCAATACCGGCAGTAGCACGCGGCGACAGCAGCACAGCGACAGCTGCAGCGAGACACACGACCACTGAGTCGCTCACGGACCAGCCCGCATCTGCGGACGTGTCCGTTGGCAATACCCCTGCCGCCGTCGCCACTGCCGACACCGCCCTGCCGCCGCTGTCGTACTTTGCGACTGCATCGCTTTCCGGGTGCTCTTCCCGCCGGTCGTCGCTCCGAGACCAAAATTCCGTGACCATTAAGGCCACGACGGTGGTTAAAGACGCGGCGGGTGCCATTGACAAAATTCTATCGCGGGGGGTGACGGCGCTGGTGACGGCGCTGCGCTCGGGGGGGCCGCCGTACAACTCACCGTACGACAGTCTTAACCAGGTACGGCGTGTTGCGTGACGGGTTAATGACGGGTTAATGGTTAAGGAAAACACATACATGTGCTTGCGCGCAGGGATGAGGGAGGCGTGTGTTTCGCCGGGGATGGTGGTGGTGGTGGTGGTGAGGGGATGTGCCGGAATGGAGTGCGAGTCCCGAAACGGATATCCATCTGAGAGCTGCAAAGGAAATTGTGGCGGAAGAGAAGGGGGGAAAGAGGCTGTTGGTGCTGGTTTCGGAGAAGTACGGAAAGGATTCCGTGGTTGGGTCATCAAGTAGTACGGCCCGGTTATAAATAATTGATTAGTACTGGGTGTTGTTGCAACTCGACTGTTTATACTTTTTGTCCAACAACGCGCTGGCGCACCTCGTCCTTTTCCGCCAAGAAAATTTATATACACTTTTACAGGCGCATTTTGCGAATCGCACGCGCGCATCCGCAGGGCAAAATTCGCTCCTGGCTTTTTTGGGACGATGTACGAACTGTTTTTGGGCACAGTACGACCGGACACATTTCTGCGAGGGGCTGCTTGAATAAACTCTTAAAAATGTTTATTATACGCAGGCTTGACAGGCATCAACACATCGCACTTATTATATCGTTTGTTTTCGCGATCGTGTTTTCGCTTTCTCTTCGCTTTCGCGCGTCCCCTCTTTTTTTCCCCCCTCCCCCTCACCCCACCTCGTTCCGCTGTGTCGCGCGGGGCCTTATGAACAGGCTGTCAAGGCTATTGCAGTCGCCAGGCAGTACGCCAAGGAGACGGCGCCTGAGGGCGTCGAGGTCACTTTCCTGCCGTTTCACAGGTAATGTCCTGCCGCCGTACCCTTGCCGTACTATACGCGTCGACCTCAATGCATTCGCTGCTGGTAATTTGGGAGTATTATAGGAATGAATGATGCTGTGATACCGTTTTGCATCGTGGACTGCGTTGTAAAGAGGTGACTTGTGCAGGTGTTTTTTTCTTCTTATTTTCCCTGTGATTGAGCGTTCCACGCATCGTTCGGAATGGTCTATGCCGTACAGGTACGACAGCAATGAGCGGGCCGATCCATCCCGCTTTGCTTTTTTGGTGTTTCCGGTGCCGCACTTGGACGAGCAGCTCAAGACGGTGGACGAGACCGTACTGAATGTGGCCCGCGGGTCGGATGTGCACAAGATGGCCAGTGCCATCATTGCTGTCATGCTGGACCGAGGCCAGGTACGTTTTGTACGACTTGTGTACATCGTACAACTCGCTGTACAGTGGGCGGTGAAAGTGTGAAAGGAAACGAAATAATGAGCGTGCACGGCCTCATTCCTGAACATCTCGACGCTGCTGACATCTCCTCCTGCGCTTTTCCCTTTTCCCTTTTCCCTTCTCCCTTTTCCCTTTTCCCTTTTCCCTTTTCTTTCTCTTGTAGGCGGTTATGAAGGCTGCCGGCACGGAGGCGATCTTCGTGGCCATGTCTGCGGTCGTCAATGCGCGACACCGACTGATACTGAAGCACGGTTTCGATCTCATGCTGGCAGCCGCCTGGATTACGGAGGACACCGTGACAGTCATGGGCCGCGAATCCAAGTTCCTCAGGTAGGGCACACCCCCCTCGCGAACAACAAGCGGCGCCAGCGCGCGGTGTTGACGATTTTGTATGAGCAGGAGAACTGGGGAATTGGGGAACTTTGTTGGTAGTGGTGGTGGTGGTGGTGGTGGTGGTGGACTCCTAGCTTTCGTTACAGACAGACAAACGTGTTTTTCGTTCTGTGTGTGTTCAAATGGCCCAGAAGCCTCCCACTCTGTAACAATTCAATTCAACTCAACTCAACTGAACTCAACTCAACTCAATTCAATTTTCTGTCTGACGACACTGTTTTGGTACAATTTTCTGACTTGGGTTTTTTGGGGGGGTTTGTTATCCAATTTGTGATTTGGGTTTCTCTTGTCTTAGACTTTTCTTTCTCCTCCACACTTGACGATGTGACACCCACGGTGATTCACTACTGCCAATTTCATATTTTCCTGACGTGTAGGTTCAACATTCTTAAGACCGAGCCCGCGGGTCCTAAAAGCCGCGTAGCGCCCTCCTTGCCTCCAATGGTGGACAACTACTGAGAGCTTTGGAAAGGAGGATTGAGGACCACCGGCGCTCGGACGCGGCCTCTCGGTCGGGGTTTCTCTTCGGAGAGGGGGTTTGAGAATCCTGGGTAAAGGTGTAACCTTGGGCATTGGGAATGGGGGAGGGAATCGCGTAAATCCTTCGGTTCTTTGGTTTGTCCGGTTTGTCAGCGAGAGGCACGCCTAGAGGTTGCCGTCGCGTTGGCGGTGGGGGGGGGTTGCGGGGGGTGATGGCGGTGGTTGGTGGTTGGTGGCGCCTGAGAGTGGTGCGGATTTGAGTACGGTGTGGAGGAGGAGGAGAAGGTGGAAGGGGAGAGGGCAGCAATGTACGGCGGAAAGGCGGCAGGGGCGGAGGAGATTGCAGCGGCGACGGCGGCGGCGGCCCAAGGTGCTTTTGACGTTTGCGACTTTGTTGTCGCGAAATGGGAAGGGGGGAAGGGGATTGTTGACTGTGCGTGTGTGTGTGTCTGTTTGTGTATGTGCGCTCTTTTAAAGTGTGTAATGTCGAGATACCTTTGTGGGTTCTTGGTGGTGATGGTAATACGAACGATTGTTGTGTTCATAAAGCCATTTCCAGAAGCCGCTCTCGTCATCAATGCGTGTAGCATTATCAAACGTGGTCGCCGCTTTCCCTTCCGTACATGCTTTTGCTAAAAGTAACATTTGCTTCTCATTCTTGCTTACGCGCTTCGCGACGAAATGGATGTCCGTACATTTTAAAATTGCCCCGCGGTCCAAAATTTAGCTTTCCGTGGGCGCTGTCTTGGGCCTTATGCGCGGCTGTTCAGATACGCGCAAAGCGCGTATGCCACAAATGACAAACAGTTATAATAATAGTAATAGTAATAAAATAATAGTAGTGGTAATAATTTCAAGTCTGCTGATGATGGTGCATACGATGTCGCATTGTTATGGAAATGATGAAGGGGAAGAAGCTGCTGGTAGAGCAGTGCGGGGTGGGGTTGCTTTTAGAGGGAGAGGGAGAGAGAGTTCGGAGGAGGCGAAGTCGAAGTCGAATGGCCCGATGTTCCATCACCATCATCACCGTCATCATGAACGTCTCGCATGGCGTGAGTGAATGTGTGCGTTTTTTCGATCATCGCATCCCTTATAAGATGTTCTCGTACGCCGCAGTGTACCGCGATGCCGTACAATGTCGCGTACGGCGATCTGTGATATGGGTACGGCCGCCTTCTGCGTGTTTGTTGCGTGCATGCGTGTATATATGGCGGGCCAGCGGCGGCACCGCTGCCGCGTCTTTTACCACGATATCACGGGCGGCAGAGCATGGCGGCAGTGTACGACGGCGACGAGGAGGAAGAAGCAGTTGGCAGAGTGTGAGCGTGGCGTCCCCAGGGTTTCGGAGGGAAGGGGGGAGGGAGGGGGAGGGGGGAGTGAAAAAAAGTTGTCGAGGGAGCCCGTCGTGGTGTTACAAAGGTGTCATTTAATCCGGTTTTACTTTCTGTTTCGAGCTGTGTGTTTTCCCACGTAGGAGGAATGTCTGAGAGCGGTGTATGTTGGTGTCATGTACATGCGTGCCGATGCCTGACTTTACACGTGTGTATGTGGGTGTATGTGAGTATGTATGTATGTATGTAAGTGGGTGTTTTGGGTGCCGTGGGGATGGAGGGTATCACTGACGGAAAGCAGGATGTGTGCCGTACTGTGGTTTGGCGCTCTCCGGCTGGCTCAGATGCTGTCGGTGTGTTTTTGCGGATCGAGCGCCCGGAGAAGTACTGGTTGGATCAGTTTGCCGTGTTTTGGTGTACTTGCGTAGCTCCCGATACGTTTTGCGCCTCCCCACGAATGGAGACATGGTTGGTCCTGCAGCCTCTGATGAACGCACTGATTAACGCACGAATGACAGAAAGACTTACAGACGAACTAACGAACAGGCGCGCCTGAGCAGTAAATGGGCTGTCGGGGTTGGCCTCCAACCCTCTAAGGAAAGCATGGGGTGCTGCGCATGCGGTGTGTAGGTAAGTATGTCAGTCGTTTGTGGTGGTGCCTCAACCATGCGGCGGCTCATGGGTTTAGGTTTGCGGCGGTGCCAGGTGCCGGCAGGGCAGTCACAAGCCAGGTATGGGTCGCAGTGGTTCCGTATGTATGTAGGTCCACAAGCCGTAGCTGCTGAGGGGGGGGATCGAGCTTCGCAGTAGCTGCAGTAGCTGCAGCAGTAGCAGCAGTAGCTGCAGCAGCAGTAGCTGCAGCAGCAGTAGCTGCAGCAGCAGTAGCTGCAGCAGCAGTAGCTGCAGCAGCAGCAGTAGCTGCAGCAGCAGCAGTAGCTGCAGCAGCAGTAGCTGCAGTAGCAGTAGCAGGCGGAAGGGGAGTAGCTGTGTCGTGTGTGGCTGCAGTGGCAGTGGATGCGGGTCCGTGGGGCGGACTTTGTGCCGCTGAAATAGCTATGGTGGTGGTGGTGGCGGTGGGGGGTGATGGTGGTACGATTAGTGAGAGGAGGTGTTGTGGAGTGTAAATAGAACTTGTGATGGTGGTGTTTGGGAACCGGCTTTTAGTTAGTGGGTTGGTGGGTGGGTGGGTGGTTGCCTGTGGGTGTATGTACGGAGATTCCTGATGGACAATAACGATCTTGAGGTAGCGATGATGATGATGGTGGTGGTGGTGGTGGCGGCGTGTGTTGTGTTGGGCGGGGGATGCGGCCACGGCAGCGCATTGATGTGTTGGTCGTGGAGGTGGAGAAGGTGACGTCGCTACGGACCCACGGGTCGGTGCTCGAGTTTTAACTGAGGAGTGCGGATGAGAGTGGAGGTGGCGTCATGAGGCATCATCGCGGCGTGAATGCGCATTTCCATGAAGGGAGGAATCACTGTGCCACACGCAGCCCCATTTGCGTCTGTATGTCTGTATGCGCATGTGCGGATTTAGGGTTGGCTAGGCGCAAAAATCCTGTAGATTTGCATTTTGCTTCTCCTCTTTGTTATCGCCTCTTTGTTATCGTTGTTATCTAGGGGGGTGTTAGGAGGTTTTGCCCTAATAGATGCGAAATGTGGACGTATTTGGAGGTCCCCGGGATGTTGGTGGGGGAGAGAGAGAGCGAGGGAGGGGTTGCACGCGCGCACCTCGCCTGCTTGCATTTCCTTCTCTTCCCCTCCTCCCCTCTTTCCCTCCCTCCCCGGCCCTCCTTCCGACGAAATGGCTTCAGGAGTGGCTTCAAGAGTTCAAGAGGAGGGGGTCGGAAAGAGGGTTGTATTGAGTTAGGGGTTTTTAAAGAGGGTACCCCCTGCCGGGTAATCTCTCTGCTTACATGCAGCTGCAGCTGTGCAATGACGACCACGGCGGCGGCAGCGGCGGCGAGGGCAGTAGCGGCACGAACAGCTTGGGCAGCAGCAGCAGCAGCGATGGGGCACCGCAGCGAAATCATCATCGTTGGCAAAAATAAAGACAGCCGCAATCCCCAAAAAACATGGAAGTATGTCCCAGCCGTTCGTTGCTGGCGGATTTGGAGAGCGTTTGAGAGGTTTTTTGGGTGGGTGGGTTTTAGAAGACCCTTCATCGAGAGCCGAGCGGCCGTGCACACGGCTGCGTGCTGTGTGTGTGTGTGAGGCATATCGGGGCATAGGAGGTTTGCAAATAACACGCGGCGCACAGACGGACCGACAGACGGACGGACAGACGTGAAGAAGGTTGGGTATATTCGGCATAAGAATCTGTGTGTGTGTGTGCGTATGTGGCTGTGGGAGGCTTCCCTCTCGGGTTTTGCACGTGTTGCGCCGTGGGGCTAGATGGCTGGTCTATATAGCGGGGTGAGCTGAGATGCCCCGGGGCAATGCCTGTGTGGAAGTGTGTATGTATGTATGTATGTGAGGCCGAGCTTGGGTGGTAGCTGTTTTTTAGGAGAGGAAGTATAAGAGAGCTGACAGGAGAACATATAGATGTGGAGGAAAGATAGAGGGGGATGCTGCGATTTGGCCGCCGTCTCGGAGAGGGGCTCCAGAGGCCACACCAGGAGACCTCCGCCTCCTACAACACCCCCTTGACGATGACGACCACGTTTGCCATGGACGCATAGCCTAAAAGTTTGATATTGATCGAAATCCCTTTTGCATCCTTTTGCGCATATGTTTCGGAAGAGTCCACTCCCCCCCCCCCCGGGGGACAGAGGGGTGCAACGGGAGCGTGTGTTGCGAAGCCTAACCTGACAGCTGGCACCGGGTTTGACGTGTAATGCCGATGCGACATTGCTGTGTTCTGTGTTTTCGGGGCATGTGATGGCGTGCGCAACGCTTCGCTATAATGCTGTGTCGCCCCTTTTTTATAGTTTTGGAGAAACAAAGAAATGGAGCACTCGATTGTTTAGGGGCGCAAGCGGAGCGTGAAGAGGATGGTTTGGATGGCTGGCGGTGAGGTGGATCCACAGCCGCGTGCATTTTCATCTAGTCATGTAGAACATGATTTTGCTTTTGTCGGTCGCGTGATGTAGCTTTTTTGTGTTTTTGATTTGGTTCGGATGGAACGGTTTTAATAGATGTGTGTGAGGTGACGCAGGTGGAAGCATGTGTGGTTGAGAAGGGATATATTAGATGGAGGACCATAGGGTTGGATCGGTTAGAGCATTTCCAGCTGCGGTATAGCGGCGTCGGGTTGAGGGTTGTGCGCCCGGCCTTTAGCAGACCTTTCTAAACCTCAGAAAAGAGGGGTTTCTCCACAATGCGGGAGAGAATGCTTTGGGGCATTTCCGAAATTGCAGCTGGCTCGCATGCCTGTCTTTTAAAAGGTTTAACTTGTCATTAAAAAAAAGTCGAGGGTTAACTGCACTCATTTCGTTCGGATATCATTATTTTAGATGTTCAGGCCTTTTTCAGCTTATTGCATGTACTACAATTAAGATAAAAAGAGGTATTATGGATTGCTGGTCGTCATTGCTCCTGTTGCTGGATGTGTTAGGGCCATCCTAAGGGCCAAATTTGTAAAGGAAAACGTGTTTTTTCGCCCCTTTGTCATCCCCTCGTTGAGGACTATCGCCCCACACTTAAGGAATACATTACGGCGACCCTAGCAACTTTGTTACTTAGGTCGGAATAAATTGAGACCCCCCTAAATGAAAAAAAATCACTGACTATCGCACGGCGCCCCTAAATTCCCCATGACATGCCGTGATATCAACGCACGACAGCTGTCACCTATTACTTTTTAAACCGGAGCGGCTATTATGGGTCACTGCAAAACAGGAAGAGCGCCCCCATAGGGGAGGCTCTAGTACACATTCCCGAGGTCTTCAGTTTTACGGGTACTGTTGATGTTGTATTGCGCGCTCGCCAGCCAGTTCTACCTATTACGCACCCCGCAAAAGAGTAAAACAAGGATCGTCACAAATACCCGCAGAGCAGCATATGTGGCTTTCCACGCTTCAAACATTTTCACAAAGATTTTCAAGGCGAAGAAGACCTCTTCTTATGCAGCCACGAGAACAAGCAAAGCGTAGACGCAAAAGCTGTCTGGTCAAAAGCTTGAAATCTCCGACCAAGTCGCACCCTCCTCGCACCACCATCCGCCGCCGCACCCCTCTTCCCCAAGTCGCGCTTTCCTCACCCAACATGATGATGGTGCTGATCGTAATGATGGTGATGATGGTGATGCGAGAGGGCCACGACAATCAGCCCGCCGCATGTGCAGGCCTCCATTCGGGCGCCTTACGGACGACGCCGCACCCGTGTTACATCTGGAACTTAGGGTTTTCGTAACCCGCAACACAAAATCCGAGTCTCGTTCCTCCCTTAGCCACCCTGGCGTCCGACACATGCCATGTACGACACATACATGTGTTCCACAGACGGCTACAGGAGACGCAGCAGCTACACCCCACGCGGCAAATACAGCTGGAGGAACCGGCCCCTGGCCCTGCCTTCGGTCCTCACCCCTGGCCTGGCCCCAGTCTACACAGCTGTTGTCGCAGCCCCGACACTGCGAAGGAAGATGATGCCAGCGACGGCGACGGCGACGTCATTCGTCCCAGTCCCGCCCCACCGCTCCACCACGCCTCCTCCTCCGCCGCCTCCTCTACCTCCTCGCAACCAAGCCCTTTCCCCCCTGCTGCTGAGCCCGCTGCCGCCGCAGCCACCGTCGCTGCCGTACAAACGCCCCTTGATGCGGCAGGTGGCGATGTCGCAATCGCCCCAGGGAAGAGTACGCGGCTGCTGCCCATCGACGGCAGGTCGCGATGACGGGCGCCGCCGATGCCCGCCTGCGCCCCCCGCCCCCTTCCCTCCGCCTCCTCTTCGGTGTCTGGCTGTGGTAAGGACGCGGAGGGGGTATCCGGGTGAAGACCCGCCCATATTCGTTCCAGGTTGCGGATGCGGAGGGGGAAGCCCGCGGAGGGCACGTAGCTGCCTCGGCGAGCCAACTCCCCGGATGTGTCCTTGGAGCCGACTGGGGAAGAAGAAGGACCCGGAGGGGGAAGGGCCACATGGGGGAATATGGGGGCATATGAGGGGGGAAGGGCCACATGCAAAAAAAGAATGAACTCAGGAATGAACTCCTTCCCCCCTCTCACCTCTCACCCTTCCGCCCTCTCACCCTTCCGCCCTCTCACCTCTCCCCTTCCCACCCGTTCCCAGCTTCCCACCACTGCCCTTCCACCACTGTCCCAGGCCCACTACCCTACCAAGCAATGCCCCCCGGCCCTTTTCCCTTTGTGTCGTGCCATCCCCATCCCACCCTACTGCCTCTCTCACCCAGTCCGGCCCGAGGATCGGGATCCTCGGGTGGTGTGGGGATGATGTCGTTGACGGTGGGGTTGGGCACCTTGCGAGCTCGGACCTGAAGCAGGGGCATGGCTTGGAGCTTTCAGGGCGAGGGACGACGGAGCTGCCGACGGGGTGTGTTCCCCTGGGGCGAGGGTGGGGAGATCGTAAGCAAGGAGGAGCTGCCTCACCCGCTTGCCGTCGGGGGTAAACATGAAGATTACTCGTGTGGGTAGGCCCGTTTCCGGGTCTGCCACCTGGACTTGGCTATAGTGGAGAGGAGCCTGGAGCGCGTGACCGGGGGGATTAGGGGACGCGGGAGAGGGAGGGAGGCAAGGAGTTGGGAGTGGACATTGGGGATGGATATGGGGGCCAGGGAAAGGAGGGGGATGGCTGCGGCAGAGGCAGAGGCGCATCGCAGAGAGGGGGAAGATAATCATGAAGTTCGCTGTGGCTTGGCTGTGGTGGCTTAGGAGAGGGAAGCCCTGGCTGCGTGATGGGCCTCGCTTCCGGATTTGAAAAAGGCCCTTTGCCGCAACACAAGTAGTCCTTTTATTGGGGCCATGGGCTCTATCTTGCGTAATGACAATGCACCAAAGGCTTGCAAGTGCACTCGCACGTTCATCGCACGCCTCACCTCCATCGTAACGACAAAGTAGTCATCATCGCCTGGCCCCGTCCGGATTTTTTTCTTTCGCTGTATGAGAGATAGGATGCTTAAATCAAAATCACACAAAGGGGCCGCCACCTTCCCGATGTCACCTTACCATGTTTCGACCCTCAACGATGACCCGAGGAAGACGCGGATCCTTGAACACCTCAAGAACTCTACCCGTCTTTCCCTTATCTGGGCCACTCAAAATATAAACAATATCATCACGGCATATCCGCCAGCGGTCTGTCTTGAACATCGGGCGAATTGCCCGTAAAAGCTGAGGCATCTTTGCTTTGCTTCAAAATATTCCCTTACGCCCCGTGTTTGTCTATCTTAATGCTCACTAGCAGGTGGCCTTCAAGCCAGGCTTGCATTACAGGACTCCAGGCAAACGTGCAAGCCAACTTCCACTAATCCCCCCGTTACTGGAAACAATGATGGAAGTGGGAAGACAAGCATGATTTACGCTGGCCACAACATCAGCAACTGGCACGCACGAAGTGACGGCAATTGCTGGTTTCGGCATGTGCGCATGTCCGTGCAGTACGAATGAGAACCCCTGCCACCATGCTTAAACAGCAGATGTCCGAGCAGAATCAGGAGCAGGAGCAGGAGCAGGAGCAGAAGCAGGAGCAACAGCAGCGGTGGCAGTGGCGGCGGCGGCCCTCAGGGAAAAGACAGGGCCGCGTAACTCGATTGAGTGCCCCCGGGGCTACATATGGGGCTACATACCATCCGTGATCGGGATTCTTCGTCAGTCCAAAATTTGGGAAAAACTAGGAAGGCGATTTAAAAGCCTAAACGTATTCCTCGTCCACCCAGTGAAAGCTCGGAACCCTAGGCCTGCTCAAGGCTCAGGAAGGCGCAGGCCAGTGTCTTTAAAATTGGTTACTAGTGACCAAGTGGTTACTGAGAAAACAATTCCCTTCCAGAAGGTGGTCACTCGGAAATGTTTTGAGTCACCTGCCAGTAACCAGGTGGTCGCCAGGAAATTGGGGGCCGCAGACCCCCCCGGGTAGTAGTGACCACCTAGAAATGTTTTCGGCGCTTGGATGGGAGCAGTGATGCTTCAGCGAGCTCGGCTCGGGAACGCGTTGCCGTACATAGCGTCAAAGTTGATGAAAGCTTGCTCAGACGGCTTGTTCATTATAATCTCTTCAAGTGAAGTCGGATCTTCGGATGCTTGGTTCTAGGGGCCTCCTGTTCAGGATACTCGCTGGGGAAAATCTTTTGTAAGGTGGTTACCAGAGGGACCCCCCCCCACAGTAACCACTTGGTCACTCCACGGCGGTACCCTGGATAATTATCACAGCCGGCAGCGGCACCCACTTACGTCTAAACCCTAAAACCCTAATACCCTAGCGATGTTTGGGGCATGTAGGCGTTGTATAGTGCTCAGAAGTCCAGACACACAGTCCCCTCAAGGGAAAGGAAGGAGAGAAGAAAGGGGAGGGAGAGGAAAGGGAAGGGGGACAGGAGGGAGAGGAACATGTTAATATTGCTTGTATTGCCGTGTTTGTCGTTTCCGACAACAAAGCTCAGGATCTTCCAAACGCATCCCAGAAAACATGACAACGTGAAGCAGCAAGCATAGAACACATATAAGGTCAAAACATAGTAACAAACATAGAACCTTGTACTCGAATATGCAGGTAAAGAAGTGTAAGTGTAAGGAGTTAATCTAATCCTTCATAACAGGAAGTACATTTGCAACATTAATGTACAAATCGTCCACAAGGACACGAGGGATGTAATTGACATAAACGAGAGAAGCGAGGGGACAGGAAGGAATGGAAGTAGGAAGAAAACGTGAGGGAGAGGACAGAGGTGTTTGGAAAAAGGGACACGAGAGAGGCGGGAGAAAAGGGACAAAAGGAGAGAGATGAGCAAAATGAGGAACAGTTTCCGCAAAAGATCGAAAAGATAGGAACAAGAGAGGGTATGGAAGGAGAGAACAAAAGGACGAGAGCACAATTCATCAATTTACTTTGTTCTTTGTAAGCTTTCCATCGGTATTCGCATATGCTGTGGCGCGCTCTGTAGCTGAGACACAACCCCTGAGTGGGCGGCTCGTTGAGCAACGTGCATTGGAGGTCACAGGCAGGAGCTGTTTGCTGCGGGGCACTGGCAGCGACAACAGCAGCAACAACAGCAGCGGCGACATGGATGGCAGCGAAAGCGAGTTTGGTGAAGGAGGCCATATGGTTCGAAGCGGAGGGGTTGGGAATGTGCACCTGTTTCTCTCCAGTGAGAGCCCGGAGAGGTTCACCCCACTGAGTATCATAGAGCTGGTGCACGAGGTGTTCACTCCTGGCGGGATCAACCTGGACCCATGCTTGTCCGCGGCTGCTAACACACGTGTTGAGGCGACTGTGTATTACTATATGGAGTCCGATGGTCTGCTGGAGTGCAACGCATGGATGGGTGTTTGATGCGCAACGGAGTACATGGCTGGTCGCATTGGCCAAGCAGTACTGCTGCTGAAAGCCGCTGTGGGTTATGCGTGGTTTGATGCCATACTGCAGTGGCCTGTCTGTTTTCTGCGCAACATTTTGCGTTTGTGTGTGGAGACAATCTGGGAGCCACCAGCAGGAGGGAGGAGCCCCGACATGGGGAGCGCGGGTCGCCAATCCACACGGAAGTGTGGTGGTCTACATGGGCCCAGACGTGCAACGTTGTGTGTTAGTGTTTGGTTGCATGGGCGGAATACCAGGGGCGACTTCATGGGCCATGCCCCACCCAACGGAGAGCTCGATGGATTGAGCCACAGAACACACATGGAGCACACATTCTTCTCCACAGACATCTACATTTTCCTTTGTTTTCAATGTAGCTCGGGGTACTGAGTTTAGCGGTGTGTATCGGAGATTCCCCATTGTTTCCACCCGAACCTATTCATGCATACAAGTATTGTGGGATAAACTGGACAAACTGCCGATGAAGTGTGGTAGGAAAACAGTGGGACCTCGGCGGCTGACTTGACTGGGTAATGCAGTCGTGGCCCTGAGTGCTTGCCTCCCGACATTGCCAGAGTACGGTAACCAGGTGTGTAAGTTTTCCTGCTCCACATCCTGGGATCGAAACCAACACTCACAGAAGCACTTGTAAGCGGTCCCCTTGCAAAGTTTTCTGTAAATTCCTTAAAAGTCATGTGCTGCCGGATGCCAGCCTGAGCCAATCCTGCCAACTCGACAGCCAATTCGACACCCCGAACACGCTAATTCGATAACCTGCAAGGCCAATTTGACACCCGGACAGGCCAATTCAGGCCCAGCACAGCCCAATTCCGGGGCTCCACAGCGCAATTCGAATACCTCCGGGCAAACCGCCAGAAGAATTCAAGACCCCGACGGACGAATTCGTTTGTCAGGAATAAAATCCAGGCCAATTCTGTGACAGAGCTCTTCCCTAATTCCAGCCCGGATCCTACCCTCCTTCGCACATCATTTGACTCACCGTACTCACACAATTTATAAAAAAAATCCCATGCTGCAGCACTCTCAACGGCACCCACTACAGACTAAGACAATTCCTCTTTTGGGCAAGTCGGCATACGCATAGCGTGTGGTTTCATAACATAATTGCTCATAATGCACGTATCCGGTACCGTACATCGGTACTGCCCAAATAGCTTTAGGCAGCTTGGAGTGTTTGTGTTTGGCATAAAATGCTTTTGGCCACCTTTGCCTTGCTCCCGTCAATCTTGAGGACGGAGCGGATCGCGGCGGCGCGAGGTCTCTTACAGGTCTACCGTATAGGTGCAGGGTAAATCCTCAGGGATATGATGGATAAGAAAAGTAAAACTGTTGCAACACAACTATTTGCGGCGGGGCGTACAGGAAACGAGATTTCTTTCATAACCCGCCGTCAGATGCAGTACGGTGGACGCGTGAGCATGTGACGGTGTCAACCACCCCAGCATCACATGCGGGGCAAACAAGTTAGCTGTAAGATAACAGCTAACTTAGATGTAGATATGTAAAGCATTAGATGTTTCGTAGTTTTAGCTATTAAGATTGATAGCAACTAGTGACGGCAGACCGACATTTGGATGATAACCGGATGATGATGCTCTTTCCGTCTGTACACTGTGAAAATAATTCGCTGAATATGAACGGATTTTCCTAGGGTTTGACTAAGGAAATACTTTGCCTAATCCTGGGATAACTATCCGAAGGAGATAATTATATAGCGTTGTGGCCGGCAGAAGACGGACGGCCGTTGCATACGAGCTGCTGAGCGGGCCATGGCCCTGCCCAACCTCACGAAGTCCTAGAAACAACACACTTCGCAGGCTTCGCACTTTTTTTTGTAGTTACTAGTAGTAGAATGAACTGTCCGTAGATTTTAATAAGGCCCTTTCTGCCTATCTTGTCAACTCAGCAGGCACGTCGCCTTTTGTAGAGGCTGTGCTCAAACTGTGTGCACAAGAAGTCGATGCAATTTTGGCAAGTAGGAATCTCTTTTTATGGCGTAATGAGAAGGCCCTGTAACAGTCTACCTTGACTTACGTACCGATACATAGGGGAACGTTTAAGGGCACAGTAATAACAAAAAGCAGGATACCACAGTAATAACAAAAAGCAGGATTCTAGCTGCTGTAATTTGCGAAATGCCGCCCTTGCATATACTTTGTGGAGTACTGCGTTGCTTTGGTGGGACTCTGGACAGCTCAGAATGCAAATCACAGGAGCCGCGTTTCGGTGCGGTCCAGCCTTCCTATACCAGCGGCGCAGTCGCTTCCTCGTCGGAGCGACCATTCGAGCTGCTCGCGGCACCGGCGTTTGCGGGCTCCGACGAGGTGTGTAGTGTCTGCAGCCTTTCCTTTTCTTATCGTTTGTCCGTGTTGTTGCTGTTGATGCTGTTGTTGTTTTTCGAACATTCCTACGTTGCGCTCTGTTGCACGGCCGGCTTCCTACTTCCTACTCCCTACTTTAATATCTTCACAATTGCGCAGTACACAAATCTGGCCATTGGGCCAGAGTGCATGTAATCAGGATTCAAAGTTGTAGCTTATAATATTGTTTTTTTTAAACTAAGATAATGATTTTAAGCGGACGTTCAATTACAGACACTTGTAACGTTTTTTCCGTACTGTACGTCTCCCTTACGTGCATACTGCACACTAAATCATATTAGCTCGAAACCGCCAAGTGCAACCATCAACGTCATCTGATACGTTCATCTATTGCCAATGCTCCTGCTGCATTGCAGACCGCATTGCGCCAACTAAATGGCGGTGAGGCAAATCCCGCAGCTCTGCGAGACACGATGGTGGGTTCTTTCCTTACCAGTTGTTGCACCGCACGGCACATCAGCATGCGCACACATTTTTTTAGCGTTTTCCGGACTAGTGATGCAGGGTGGCTGCGGCTGGTGTTGTTGTTGTCGTTGTTGTTGATGGGGTGTTACACTGTGGGCGGCTCGCCCGATATAGGACGAGCACCGGGGCCCCTGACCGGGGGCCGAAACACAGCGCAGGGACGGGCGCGCGGCTCTACGTCCGTCTGTTCTTCCGTGCGCGCCTCATTCCCTCACTCACGCCAACCGGGACGCTCTCCCAGCCCCTGGCTAGGCAACACAGCGGCGCAGAAGACTGCAAACCGAACTAAGCGAGAGCCGCGCGAGAGGCGCCACTTCAGCCAGCCTGCCTAATCGTGCGCTCTCGTCCCTCTTGACCGCCAAAACAAGAACAAATAGAAAACACCACCGGGGCCAGGGGCTCTACTCAGGGGGCTCCACTTCACACTCAAAAGCCGAGGCAAGGGAAGACCTACCCACGTCAGGTACTGGCCCCTCAGAAGACTCTCCTAAACCAGGGCCCCACGCAGCCAGCAAGGCAAGAGATACACGGAGGCCCACGGGCCTTAGACGCCACACCACAAAAGCCGAGATACGGTTGCACAAAGAAGACCAACACAAAGCGAGTACTCGCACACTGGTCCTTGAAGGCCAGCTGTTGTTGTTGATGTTGTTGTTGATGTTGTTACAGGGTGGTTAAGCTTCACCAGTGGCCTCCTTCCCGAGGCAGTTCCCTGCTCTCCCCTGCTAGAGGGGCACCCTAAGCCATTCACCCCATCCGACTTCAGAGTGTACTCTTTGAGTTTGGCAACTCACCACCAGCATCCAACCAAATCTAGCGGATCAACGGCGCGTCAACTTAGTTCCTAGTCAGCTCGCGAGTTGATTTTATCACGTCCTACACCGTCCATAAGATGGGGAGCCACCTCCCATTTCAACACCTCTCAAACACCCCGAGAGGTCGGCAGGCGGATTTGAACCCGGACGTGCCGTAACGCGCCGGGAGCAGAAGCCAGGCCTTAACCTCTGCCAGCCGCCCGCCTTGTTGTTGTTGATGTTGATGTTGTTGTTGTTGGTGGTGGTGGTGGTGGTGGTGGTGCCAAGGTGTGTCCTGTGGTCAATGAAGCGTGTTATCAATAGGCTGTGGGTGGCAGTTGACGGGGGGATTGGATTTGGATGCGGGTCGTGTGGCGTGGTTTGACACTGGCAGCACCTTTGCATCCACACTTGGGGCCTATTTCCTCGAACCACACACCCAAACGACATGTTCGTCATGGACGTTTTAGGGCGGAACATATAGGGCCGGACTGGGGTGCTGTTTGCCGCAGATAGGGGACTGATTAGCAAGTTATTACAAGGTCCGCACACAACACGTGCGGGGTTCTCCGTAATAGCCGGGGGCCCCCATGGACGGTAGATAGGGACCAGCTAAGTGCGGACCAGCGTTGGATTAGGGATGGCGTCGGCCAGAAACGGGAATACGGACGTGTCAGGGATCCTGGACCAAAGGTTTGCCTAAAAAAGATCCGCGACAAGTTACGATGAGGCCGAGGTCAGGTAGGGTTCACGCCAGAGGTCAAATATACATACGCAATCAAATATATGTGTTTCGCGCAATAGATTCCTGAACTGAAAAACGGCTGCGGCCAAATGCGGCCAAATACGTCCGCAGTAGAAGATTAAAATTGAGAACTCTTGCAGCTTGCTGCATGACGTTTGGGATTAAAAATAAAAATCATATTTTAGCCCAACCGATGGTATCCGCAAAATAGGTCATGCAGTCTCTTGCTGCAAATGGTGTAGGGTGGATCTTGGGAAATACGGCCTGCGTTTCGCAGGTGGGAGGAAAGGATCGACGTTTGAACGAAGCAAAAGAAATTAAAGCAAATCAATTCACCTTTCCTGTCATTAATTGGCAGAGGGCAAAGCTTGCGGAATGCTAAGTTACAAGTTCCGCACGAATTGGGGGGTTGTCCGCCAAAGCCCGGCGTTAATTCCGCCGCACGACTTCAAATCCGAAGGCGGTTTGGATCCTGCCATCTAAACCCCTCCTCAGCCAGTCACAAAAGCGCGTTTTACAGGGGAGCCAGAACGGGTACAAATGCTTACAGCACACGCGGACTCGGCATGCCACCAGCGCCACTAGCTCAGGGCTTCAGTAAGCATGTGAACCAAAATATAATTTGGTTTGGATATTATATATGTCCTGGTTCGGCGAATGTATAAATGTCCTGAAACAGGCAATAAAAGCCCAGGATGGCCGTATGAGCTTGTACGAGCCAAGAGGCTCTTAAGCTGCCGAGCTGGAAACAATAATGAGATAAATAAAAAAAGATATCTGCCCGTCTTAGCTATCCGAGAGCCAAGAGGAGTCAGTGCCCATGATGACCACCTCTACACAGTCACGCACGTCTCCTGCATATGTATATAGTAGTCTCCTAAAGCAGCTCCGTTTTCCATAGGGACCTGGCCTACATATATGTGTATGTATATATGTGTACATGTATATACATATATACATATAATATAAATATATAAACAAGGAGTCTCCTGCAGCATACATATATACAGGCGGCTGGCAGAGGTTAAGGCCTGACTTCTGCTCCCAGTCGACCCAGTCGACCCGGGTTCAAATCCGCCTGCCGGCTCCTCGGGTGTTTGGGGAGTGATGAAATGGGAGGTGGCCCCCCATCTTATGGACGGTGTAGGAAGTGATGATATCAACTTACGAGCTGACCAGGAACTAAGTTGATGCGCCGTTGATCCGCTAGATTTGGTTGGATGTTGGTGGTGAGTTGCCGAACCCAACGAATACATTCTGAAGTCGGATGGGGTGACGGATTAGGGTGCCCCTCTAGCAGGGGAGAGCAGGGACTGCCCCGGGAAAGGGGGCCGCTGGCGAAGTTAACCACCCTGTAACAACATACATATATATGTATATATGTTTGTATCCTATATATGTAAGGTGTATATACATATGTGTGTATAGGGGTATTCTAGCCGTACATCATAATGACGTTTGTCCTCCAACTCCACTGCCCGCCGGCTAATTCCACAACCCCCCCGACATACATATGCACACACACACGCCGAGCTCCACGCTCCTCACCACAGAGTGGGCTCACTGCCAACGAACGGCCACACACGCACACATTCTAGATCACATCGGGATATTAACTTGTTGCTTTGGTCGGATATAACCCACCCACCACTGCAGCAGTGTTTGGGTGTTCCCGTTTCCCTTGAAATATCGGCACGCACATCTACTCTTCGTCGGGTTGTTGCCTGTCGCCGCCCTTAACGAAAAGGACTGGGTCCACCGCCATCTAGCCTTTCCCTACCCTAGTCGTCATCAGCTTTAAAAGTGCCCTGGCCCTCCACTTGTCCGTCAGATCATCGACGTCAAGCTTAAGTTCATCCTGCGATGAGATG